ATTGAGGCTAATATTTTAGACACTATATTAGTCAAACTGATTCCTCTGTGATTGTCACAGGAGGACTTTTGTCCTTTCTTATAGACTCGCACAATCAGTGATTGAGACCAGTCAGATGGGATTACGTCCAGTTCCCAAATTCTACCTAAGACCTCGGTTAATCTCATTGCTAATACTGGACCACCATCCTTAAAAATCTCAGGAGCAAACCTGTCAGGGCCTGCTGCTCTCCCTCGTTTCAGATTTCCTATGGCTTTTTCAACTTCGTAAAGGGACGGAGGACCTACATTAACTTGCTATTCAGGTTGACTAGAGATCGTGGGAAACCGAAGTGTGGCTGAAGGCCAGTTGAACTGATCCCTAAAGTGTTCTGCCCATCGATCCGATCTCCTGGATTGAGAATGAATAATATGACCATCTTTCTCTGAGATTGTTTCGCTAACGGTCGGGTTCCTAATTCCGGTTTCCTTAACAAGTCTGAACAATTGTCTGCTATTGCCTCTGCCTTTTCCATCTCTCTTGCTTTCGCTACCCACCACTGTTCGCGATCATTGCGTAGACTTCTTGTCGGCTTGCGCTTAGGCTGACTCCGCTCTTCATTATGTTCAGAGCCAGGTGGAATGAGTTTCCGAGCATCTATCAGTGAGATAGATGCTGCTGAGATCCAGTGTTTCTCCCTAACCTTACGGGTTACCGTACTAGCAGATATCACTGCTTTTTCCACAGCTTTTCGGATATCATTCCATGCTGCCTCTGGGTGGACATCACATACATGGCTGCCTAACTGTTTTCCTAGTTGTTCCTGAAATATACTCTTAGCTTGACTATCATTAAGTAGGCTCCCAAGAGGTTTCCTTGCAGCGTCTTTCCTACGTCCAGTAAGACGCAAGCAAATACGCGCTCGCACTAGAGCATGATCTGAATCTAGGCATGTGCTCCAGAATGAGCGACAGTTTTCTATCGAGCCCCTCCATCGGTGGCTGATAGCGATGTGATCTATTTGGGTCCAACGTTGGGACGAATTAGGGGGTCGCCATATTAAAAGATGTTTTTCCTTATGCTTAAAGTTAGTATTTGCAAGGAACAGACGGTTATCTGAGCATAGCTGCAACAGACGGTCGCCATTATCTGTTCTTTGAGCCACGACACCATAATATCCACCTAGGTGTCTTTCCCTATCGCTTAGTTTACCTACTTGAGCATTAAAGTCACCGGCCACTATTACTACATTTGAGCGCTTAGCTTTTCGGAGAAGGTCCGAAAGCTTTCTGTAAAACTCATCTTTGACATCATCTGAGCTACAGTTAGTGGGAGAATAGGCAGAGATGACGAAGAGGCAACGACGAGTGTCCCTATCTTTCCGGATTCTTACTGTTCCGTTCAGTCGGACAGCGCACAAACGACTGTCTACTGGGATCCACTCTAAGAGAGCTAGTTCTGCCCTAGGACTCAATGCTATACCTACGCCGGTGAGGCCACGGGAAGCAGAATCAGGGCTTCCAGATACATGAAGCGTAAATCGAGTCGGTTCTTTATTTAGGAATGGTGAGGTCAAATGAATGACGCTACTTGGATCCTGTGTGCGCGTTTCGGAGACGCAGCACACATCGATGGCGCGGGATTCTAAAGTCCTAGCTAAGGAAGCCTGCTGTCCTATTTGGCACAGTGTTCGGACGTTAAAAGCTCCTACGTGTAGTTTAGAGCGTGGTTTCAGGAGACCAGGAATGGCGTTCCACGTACTCAAATCGTTTGCCCTAGCGGTGCGAGGTGATAAAGAGACGTGAGGAGGGTTAGTCATGGAGATAAGAAAGATATTAGAAGGTATAGGAAGGATTTGAATGTGACCACCTTGGTCTCTTGTGCTGTTACGGGTATGAGGGCTGATGTCACTTCCCGGCTGCCCACACCGTGGAAGGGTATTTCTTGAGGAACCTGAAAAGGAAATTGGATTAGTGTTGGTCTTGACGACCTGGGAGCGTGACCGCAGAGCCCAAGGGACAACTGCTTGAGGCCGGTCGCGCACGGCCTTTTCGTGGGGGTTTTTTGACGTGTTAGCTCCGTTCTTCAAAGGGCCTTACCGCCGGAGACGGAAATCCGTGAGGTAAGGTGAGGTGTGCATTTTTAGGGTCGACCTTTTCTAACCCCACCCCTCCTTGTGGGAAGGCAGCATCGCTGTCATGCTGGTTGTCCGAGGGAAACACCTTACTGCTGTCACACCGCTCTACAGTCAGCAGTACGACGTCGCCCTCAGGCCTTGAGTTGCTGTTTTTAGTCTTACCGTTATTCAACCGACCTGTCTGGCATGGTAGAACCTGCAAGAACATATGTTCCAGCCAATATAGCTCGGTTGGGTCATCACGATAGGCAAGCCCGACCACCGCGTCAAGGTAGCATCTTCGATCGGGTACTGACTGACTGACTGATTGTCTGGGGTACTGGTTATGCGTTAAGGCGAAAGCAGTTGGTCTTCTTAAAAGATCACTCCCTGAACCCTTGACATGGAGGTCTAGTCCGTTGTGCAACGTCAGGAGCTCCAGTTCCATGGTAACCAGTGACACTGTTCGTTTTCACGAAGCCTAGAGACAGTGTATACAGTCAGTTTTAAGTCTGGGTCTCTCAAATCCCACAAGTGGGTCCTCCGTTCTTGTTCCTTCGCTCCCGTAAAACACTGCTGCCGCTAGAAAAAACAGTAATTAGGACTTCTTTGTCAAAATATATAAACATATGGCCACATGAGGGCATTTTAAGAGAGAGCATGAACTCACCACTGACGGTACCAGGACATTCAGGGGCGTTAAAGCTGTAATCTTCGGGATACATTTAACACCAGCAAGTATCAATAGTACTACACAACTTTATTTAATCCGACCTAATAATCGGTATGCCGTCATATTGAAATATATAGTTTCAGTTTTAATTTTGATACAATCGCCAACAGGACTCTGAATTAAAACAGACTTCAGACCACATACACTCTCGACTAAACGTCTATTTTACTTAGTTGTATCTAGCAAGCTCAACAGCCGTCTGATTGGTAATTTTATCTAACTTTGGAACAGCGAACGCTAATGCCATCGTTGTTCTAATACTCTAGTACCTTTAACCCCAAACAAATAAAACGACTGACATCTAGGTGTCAACAGGACAGATTGAATTGAAGCACACTCTGTGCAGGATTGTGTTGAAGCGCACTGTCTGACCATTTCTTAGCCAATGCGCTAGCGAGTAATTAAGTAAGATGGGGGCCTTGTATAAAATTATATATATATATATATATATATATATATATATATATATATATATATATATATATATATAATTACGTTCCTGTTCAACTGTGTTTTGATTTGGGGACTTGTCGAGTGAAATAGTAGCATCCAAAGAATAAGCAGTTAGAGTAGCTTGGTCGCAATAAAATAGATCAGAACATTAGATTGGTTTATTTTCATACAAAACAAAGTTTGCTCAGTATTACTGTATACAATATTAGAATGTTGAAATCTTGTCTAATGACAATAGATGATAGATTATTCTCATTAAAAAGTCCATAGATAAGACAAATTAACGAATTTTCTGCTCTATAGTAAAGGTGGTTGTGAACTTTTCGATCATATTTCAACTTCTGTCAGTTTTTGAAAGGTAATAATTGTAAAGCTTAACAATACCCCCCCCCCCGACCATTTGAATATCACACCATACCATTCGAACGATTTACACAATTTATTTTTCAGTTTACTTTGAAAACCGAAATCCATGAGTTTAATTTGTTTCTTTCTTTACAATTTTAGCCATAATTCCCACCAATATTATCGTTTTTTCTCTGATCTCCGCCGATCTATATCACTGAACAAAATTGACTCATTTATTACTCATGCCTTTAATTGGCGTTTTCCTATTCACATTCTAACTGTTGATAAAACAAATGAGTTCAAAGGTGCAGTAAATACAGATTATGATGATGTATAAATTCATGTTATTTTTACTATTACATGCTCTCCTCACTTCAATAACATAACCTTAATTTTCGTTTCAAATTATACAGAGCAGTATTGATTGAATATGGTGTATTTGTTCTATACACCTGCATGTAGGAACTAAATTTAGTTTATTAGTACTATGTTTTGTTCTATGGCCTAATATTCTACGACACTTCACCTCATTCGACCTGTTTTCAGTTTGAAACAAGGCTAAATAATAAAACGTGAATATACCTCAAGGAAAAAAGTTATGTATAAGATTAAACTGGTCCTAAATTTTATAGACTGGTTTGAATTATTTTTTCTGGTTAGCGTTTTTTTAGTGAGTTTTCTACGGGATGGGGTCGCTAACCCTATGCCCAAACCCCTCCTTTACTCTGACTTGGGACCGGCAGTAACTCTAGAAGAGCTACAGGCGGACAGTGCTGGTAGGCGGCCTATGCTCCTCCACGAGGAGTAACAGGTGTAAGTAAGTAGTGCCCCCAAATGCCCTGGTGCGGCCGAGAGTGGGGAGAGTCCGCTATCCCTCCTAAAGTGCTCTCACATGGCCACGTGTGTATATAGCTTCTGCCAGGGAAATCCTACTCACTGCCTTCTCGTAGCGGGTGTTTTATTTACAAAATTGAGAGGGCGAAAAGCGAATATCCGATGCTGTAACCGGGTTGGTGGATATGGAGGATCCATCTAGTGGAGTTAGAAAGCCTTGATTGCAAGGCACTTGTGCACATGGGCTTCAGTATCCTGAAGGAACAAATGGTGTATGAACCAGTAGTTGGTTACCGGCTACCATGGGACTGCATCTCCTTACGATGCTCCACTGCTATGTGGATCAGACCTTTAGGTCGAAGACTCCGGTTGTGGCCCCCTAAGAAAACCACCTGCCTCGGTTTGGGCACCTGAGCAGTATCACAGCCTTCAAACATATCAAATCAGATTTGTGTGGCGCATATGTATTTGGTGTCTCATTGTATCAATATTATAATAAATAATCATTAGTTGTCAGCGAATACAAGACTCAACTTATTAAATAGTACAATCAATTTATATTGAAAACAAGGTAACAAATTTCATACTGAATAGTACGATACGTGTGAAAATACAATTGAAAGTTGATGAACCAAGTTTATTTAAAAAGTTATATTGAAACTAATTCAAGCAGCTTATAAATCATAATTATGACACAGGGATGAATGAAATGGTGAATGGCATTTTATGTTAATAAAGTTAAAATCATCCGAAACCATTAAAAATAAAAGTTAACAAGACAAAACTAGTAAAATGTTAACATTAAATTACAGTAAAAGTTGTTTCTCATTACTAATCATTTCAAGCATTACTTCAAATATAATGTATATATATATATATATATATATATATATATATTAGGACATTCAATCGCGATTATGATAGAGTATTGTTCTTTGAGCTGGTGGATGGTTTGGTCATGAAGATTTCATCGTTCTTTTCAACGATAATCATCAACACAATTCGAACACTTCACTTGTACTTGAAGTTTGTGTTGTTGATGATGTTGTTTAGAAGAACAATGAATACTCCACAATCAAATCATCTATCTCAGAGAAACAAAAATACTCCATCAAAATCATCCATCTGAGTTATAAATCTTCTCCAACATGTCAAAATTGCGATTCTATCAAATTTCTTTAAATATTATTGACGATGAATTACCATGAAGTACAGAACGTAGAATTTTCTAAAATAAAAAAAAAGTTTCAACAAACATACACATAATTAAAAAAAACTCAATAGACAGATAAATAACTATATAAGATGGTGGTTGGCGGTAGTCAACAGTAAACCCTAAAACCGGGTTCCGTGCTACTTGGCACTCGTCACTAAAGTGTACGTGTAATCCTGGGGAAATTGATGCTCCCTGACATAGTGCACTCAATGTCGAGTCACCTAGACTAGTGACCATATTGTAACTTGGTCAGTAGGATTCGATCTGCACTAAGAAGAATCTGACATACATAATATTGATCATCACCCAGTGATCAATCAATTGTGATTACATCTCACTCCTACAGGAGGTCAGTCGCGGCCCAGTTAGCTCAGTAGTAACATCTCTGACTGTGGAGCTGGATGACGCGGAATCGAATCCATCAGGAAGCATCAATTCCCTCAAGGTTACGGGTATACCTTACTGATGGGTGCCTGGTTCCACGAAACCTAGGTTCAGGGTTTCCTGTTAACTACCTCCAACCAACATCTAATCTCAACATGGTGCACGCAATTTCGAGTCATCTTGACTAGTGGCCACATTGCAAATTAGTCAATAGGATTCGATCTGCACTAAGAATGACCTGACATACATGATATTAATCATCACCTAGTGATCAATGAATTGTAAATAATTATAGAATCTAAAGTGTAATTAATAAACAAATAGAATTACTTACTTCACTGTATATTTTCATTCGGAGTCGATTAACACGTAATTGGGCCAATTTAATCTTTTGTTGATTAACTTGGTTCTGTATAGAATTATGATATAATCTATATTAAATAAGAAGAAAAGAGCAGAAAATAATTCATATTCTCTAATAGGGACGAAAGAACAAACTGTCAATCTAACCTACAAACTGACATCTTTTAGATAGTAACTTACTGATGACAATAGTGGACTGTGGCGCAACTTCATGGATTGGTTGGATTTAGAAATTAACACCGTTAAATACCGGCTCAGCGGCTTAAAGGTTCAGCAATCACGCACGAAACTGATAGGTTCTGGTGTAGTGAAGAGAACACAGGTGGAGACAATCGAATGCACTTAACACAATATTACAAGACTTGCTAATAAAATCGAACAATCATAAAGCAAATGCTTAATTTGCAAAATGTCCACCAATTGTCTCAAAATGACTCAGACTTCAATGTTCTTTCATTTTCATACAAATCGCATTTTGTTTCCATTCTTTACTGTTCGATCCTCTTGTCTCTCTGTTGTCAGACCTTCTGTTCACGACTAACATCATATACTACTTATGTCAATATAAGTAGCACACACTGTGTTCTAATCTCGCGAAGTGGGGTCGTGAATGCGCACTGTTGAGGAGTCCTGTACTAGGATGAAACGGTCATCCAGTGCTTCCATGTTTTCCATGGTGATCTAGTTTCAATTGACTTACGAATTCAACTATTAAAAATTACTAGAGTATTTACAAAAAACCTCTGATTATAATAAAGAAAAAGCTTGGTGTTCCTTAAAATTCTATCATTCATTAAGTTCAATGATGGTTAACTATTCACATATTATCCATATTTTGCTAGCAACTATAAGTAAGTAACAAGTTAGTGTTATTTTAAGAGCCTTAACAATAAGTATATCACAAGTATAGAATAGATCATAACAGAATAATGATATAATCATAACAGTAACAATTGTAAACATCCACATTTGATTCAACTATTTACGAAATGTCTTGCTCAATGAGTAATCCTTATTTATTTATTTGAACATTGGTACAAGCAGGCACCAAGTAGATATGTACCACATAAATCATTCGATTTATGTGAGGTCTGGGACACTTCCCGGGTCCCCAAACCGAAACAGGTGGTTTTCATAGGGGGGAACACTCGGAGACTTCAACCTAAAGGTCTGATCCACAAGACAGTGGAGCAACGTAAGGAGATACAGTCCCATGGTAGCCGATCACCAACGATTGGTTCATACGCCAATTGTTCCTTCAGGATCCTAGATTGCTTGTGCACCATTGATTTGGAATGAGGGTTTTCCATCTCCCCTAGGTGGATCCTCCATATCCATTAACCCAGTTAAGGCTTTGGACATTCGTCTTTTGTCATCTCAATTTCGTAAAAAACACCCCAGCTGCGAGATGGCAGTGAGTTATAGTTCGCTGTCAATGGCTGCACACGCGTCGCCATGTGAGAGCAGTTCGAGAGGGAAAGATGACTCTTCTCACTCTCGGCCGTACCAGGGCATTTGGGTGCTCAATGAGGAATAACAAACTAAGCAGTAATTACCATGTTCATAATAATGAGTTAATTCAATGGAAATAATGAAATCTTCACGAAAGGGTTTATTTACTAATGTCAATAGAGAATGATGTGATTATTTTATTTATACCTGACTTGCGATATAATTCAATAGGTCGGTAGTTTGTCTTTTCGCATTTTTTTGATTCTATCAAAATTAAGACCCTGTGCATGAATCTGTAGGTTCAAGATGTGGCTTATAACATTAATCTGTCGACTGTGATCATTTTCAAAGAATTTTTTATTGTATTTAGCCTTTGTGTTATATCTAGAGCTTAGATTTTTAATATACCGCGTATAACTCGAACTCTAGAACTCTCCCAAGTCGCAAATGAGATGATAGAAGAAGACTGAAGAAAGTGGTTGTTGGGAAAGAATCAAAATATACAGAAAATTATGGGTACTTATAGATATTGGCGTTTGTTAAATCAACATTATAATTCAACCAATCCGCAAAGAGGCATGTTACTCTACTGATCAATGATAGTATACCACGTTGAGATTCTAGAAAGCTTCATTGAGTTCTGATTAGATGGGACTTTTTGGATCTTCTAAGGCCTCTGAAGGCTCCATCGTAGTTCTCGGAAGCCGTCCCTACATTGATAAGATATATGCATTATGTGTTGCTAATAAGATCATTGACAAATACTTACCTAGGTCGATGTTCTTCTTGTATTAACTGTTTTCGATCATATCTAACACCAAGTTGTGATTTTCGACTGGGATCTAAATGATTGTTTTCAAAAAAAGTTACCAATAGAATAAAATCAAAATTTGTGAAGACCAATAAGTTAACTAGATTTAGTCAAAATGCAATTACAAGGTAACATTTAAACTGATTTACTAATAAAACAAAAGTGACCATGTAAGAACAAAGAGTACATTATTCGATGGAAGGCTTCTTTAGAAAAAAGTGAGGGAAAGAGGAAAAGTCGATAAGAACAATTCGGTCACATGTTCATGTGAACCCATAAAAATCATAGCTATAATCTTAGTAAGTTTTCGTCTCTTCAAAGTTATTTTGTTGAACAGATTTCGTCTTGTAAAACTTCCAAGTAAACAGGTTTACTGAGTAGATACTATGCTTTTCTGCTGGCTGACTATGTGCCCTCTTAACATCCGTTCACTGATACGGTTTTCACGATCTATCTCTCACTCAACGTTAATTCTGGCAATCGATCACATAGCCGAAAACATAGTGTTTATCTTCTATAACAATGGAAGCAGGGATAGGATTGAAGTTGATCGTTGGAAGTTTCAATTACCATGACTCAGTGGGAATTCAATGATGAAGGAGGGAAATATTCGAACCATAGTGGGACGTTGCTCCTTGGGTTTCCCAGTGATCGTCGTATGGGCATCTTTTGCATGAATTCGTGTGGTTAATAGACATAACTGGTGAATTAAAACAAATCTAAAGTGTAAACATTCGAAAATAAATGTTAATCCAGAAGTTTAAACATACCATTGTACATCTAATTTGGTAGATGTCAAATGGTTTATTGATTTATTGTCAATTTTTTATTTTAACGGAAATATCATCAATACTACTTAGGTATTTTTAAGCAAAGATGGATAGTGACTAGTGGTGGAATCTAGTTCGACGCGCGTTTCGACCTATTTGGGACTCGTCAGCTGGATGTACCTGCATCTCAAAGTTGATGTTCACTCTGGAACTCGAACTCAGTACCGTTCACTTCAAACGCCATCGCATTTATCCACTATGAATCCTATCATAGATAACTGCAAAATGACTTAAACAAAACATTTTATCACATAGAAATGAAATTCAATCATCACAGACTTACTTTTCATGAAATTACGTTTAAGAACCTTGTCAGAATTAGCTGTTTTAATATAATTATTACTATTATTTCTGTTTGTTAGTACAGATTGAACAATTGAACAATCTGAACGATCAAAGCAACAAATTCCACTATCACCATTTGAATGAATTCTATTACCGTAGTGATTTTTATATGACTGATCCAAGTGAGATATAGATGGTCTTTTTGAAAAATTATTTGATACAACTGAATGTAAGACTTCAGTTCGTTTCATATCTCCTTCTTTTCTATAACGACGTTCCTGAATAATAAAACGTAGACGTCTTTGACGTTCTTCACTTCGTGATATCCATGATGACATTTTTTTTCGAAATATATCCTGAATATCTGTACAACCATCAAGATTATCGCTAATTTCATAAGTTATTTTTGGATTTGACAAGCTATTGGATTTCTCTTCGTGGGCCGATTTGTCCACGGTATGTAGTAGTGGTGTTGTATTCTCCATATGGTGAAGTTTAGTACATTGTATATCTACCAGTGATTTCGATGTTACAGTTTGTTCTGAAATAAAACAAAACAACCGGTAATTTCGTTGAGATTATGTGATCTTCTACTATAAAACAAAAAATTACACAACAAATCACATTTAAACATAAAAGTATCAATGTTAGACCACCATCGAATACTCGGAAGCACTGGATGACCGTTTCGTCCCAGAATGGGACTCTTCAATAGTGCGCATCCACGATTCTGCACAAGGGATCAATTCATGATCTAAATAAAAACTCAACAATCTCCACAGCACTATACTGATAAAAGTATCACTTTACCTGTATTCGATGAGGGAAATTATACAACTGAAAATTAATTTTTTATTTTATCTTTAGACTATTTGGCAATTTTTGCTGATGAACTGTGAAATAGTAGATTCTGCAGAAAAATAGTTAATCAATGAGTTACAATATAAATGTCACTCTCTTTTAATAAAATTTATTTAGGTTCATCTACTGTTGCTGCTACCTTGAAGTGATGATCGGGATGGCCTATCGCAATCAACCAATCGAACTATACTGGTCGGAACAGTCGTTCTTCAAGGATTTGCCATGCCAGGTAGGTCGGTTGAAGAGCGGTAAGACTAAAAGCAGCAAACTCAAGGTCCGAGAGTGAAGTTGTATTTCTGACTGTACAGGGGTGTGACAGCAGTAAGGTGTTTACTTCAGACAACCAGCATGACAGCGATGCTGTCTTCTCACAAAGGAAGTTTGGAGTTAAAAAATGTTAACCCTAAAAATGCACACCTCACCTTATCCCACGGATATCCGTCTCTGGCGGTAAGGTCTCAACAAGTACGGACCTAACACGAAAATTACTCGCAAAATGTTCGTGTGTGACCAACCTCAAATAGTTGTCCCTTGGGCATTGCGGTCACTCTCTCAGGTCACTAAGACCACCTCTAACCCGATTTCCTTTTCAGGTACCTTCAGGAGAACCCTTCTACGGTGTGGGCAACCGGTAAGTGATAGCCGCTCTCATACCTCTAACAGCACTCAAGACCAGCGAGTGGCTGATTCAATGTATATATACATGGAGTTCCAGTAGATCAAATATTCCATTAGTTATTTAATAAGTGAGATAATTTTTACTGTATTCTATAAATATTTTTCCTTTTTACTTGAATAACTGAAAAAAAATTCTGAATAGTCAAAACTCAAGTTCAATTATTTTCTTTTGCTCGTTGTTATGCTGGTTGTCTGAGGGAACCGCCTTACTGCTGTCATACCTCTGTACAATCAGCAGTACAACTTCGCCTTAGAGTTTTGTATTTACTACTCTTATTCTTACAACTCATCAACCGACCTACTTAGTATGATAAATCAGTCAGTCAGCTACAACGTAGGACCAGGCACATATATGCATCGGTCCAAGTTGTCACACCTCACTCATCAGCACAACAAGATCAACACCGCATTCATAGAAGTAGTTACTTCAGTGGTGGTAATATATAGAAGAAAGAAATATTTCATAGAAAGAAAGATATGAAGCAATTTTAATCCCACAGTTTGAGGGAAGATAGAGAGTGTATACACCGACGCCATTGTGATCGATTCTGAGCCATGTCACCCACAGTCTCCAACCATTGGTTACGATAGTCACATGGACCCTAACCAAGTAGTCTGCATTTATCAATATGATTAATACTAGAAGCTAGTGACTTCAAGGACGGATGCCACGTTTCAGTTTGGCTACCCCTAACTTTCTTCCAACAGTCTCCAACACTAGTCAGCATTGCGCATCGTGGTAATCGGTGTTCAGACATACGTCACACGTGACCCAACCATCTTAGTCGATGAAGATTCACCACTGTATCAATTGATTTGATGGTAGGACCTTTAGGAACGATTATTCTAGTCAATATAACCTGATTAGTTCATCACAATAGGCAAGTCAGACTATCACATCAAGGTAACACGTACGTTCGATATATATAATCAAAATCATGTGCACAATGAAACAATTGAGTTAACATAATATCAATTTTACCTTGATTTTTATCATTTATTATATCAGGAGATTCTTCCATATAACATTGACATGAACAAATATCATTCACTTCATTATGATCAGTTTTTAGATCTTTATTATTAGTTGTCATACAATATGAGATCTTAGAAGTATGTACATTGTGTGGTTTGTTTAAAATATGTAAACGTTTACTATTCAAATGAAATTCCTTGAATGATTTTGGATTATGTTTCAAGTCAGAATGATCATTTAATTTGGTATGTCTGATCACTGAATGGTTTCTTATTGGTTGATGTTTTTCTTTATTTATATAATTATCATTGAAAGGTTGAAACCAAGATATACCACCTGATAATGTGGTTGTTTATAAGAAACATAAGAGAAAAGTTAGGTGAATTAAGTATTTATTGATAGTATGAATACAAATATGAAGAAGTTCAAGAGTTAAAGAGACTATATTTCAATCTTAATAATGGTTGTTGGAGGCATTCAACAGGAAACCTTGGACCCGGTTTTCGTGCTATATGGTACTTGGTCGATAGCATTCGATCTGCACTAAGAAGAATCTGACATACATAACATTGATCACCACCTAGTGATCAATCAATTATAATCTTATTAATGTTTAGAGTGAAACCAAACATATCAAATGATTAGTGAGTGAGATGATGGTAAGAAAAGTCAAAATTCGATTGATTTACTCTTTATGGGTTTTATTCAATATTATTTCCGTTTTGATACAATGTACTGATTACTCAATGTAATACTTGTTTTGTTTTCCCGGTATGATATTTTATTTTGTATAATATACGATATTCTTGTATTCCATTGATATGAACTATGCTCAGTCTGTGATTTGTTATAACTCTAAGTATGTGAATTACATTCTAATTATTAATTAAAATGGGTGTACAATCGATATATAAATGTGTGCTTTCGACTAGGTCGTCGTCGTGTTTTTGGGGTTAATAAATCGTCACTTATACCAGTCTTTGTGTTCTTACTTTCGAGTTGTGGGAATTCCGGAGGTCCATCGTTTCGAGTATAAGTGTTTCCGACATAACAATTAGCGACGACCAGACAAAACAAGTAAGCATTCGAATCACAAGTTATAACAGTGAGATAGTAGGTTGAAAGAAAGCTAGGGGCGGCCAGACCAAAACATGGCATAAATCCATGAAATCATTGACAAGTGGGTTGAGCCATATTGGTAAGTGTAGACTATCGGATTGAGATCCACGAGATGATAGCAACTGATAGTTAGAGAGCTTTGAATGACATGGCCGAAAGTCGTTTGAAATGGCGCAGATGCATCCACTTTGTGTTCTCCCGAATTTCCAATCTTTTGAATTCTTATTGTCCGTTATTTTTTCTCTTTCCAAATTTATTTCACTGGATTATTATACTCCTTGAATAACATCTTCAAACCCTAATGTTTCCCATTACTTATTATACTCTTACTACCTTTGCCATTATGGGATATGAATCAACAATTGTACCTGTGTGCTTATCTGGCATGGCAACTCGAACTGATGTACGTACGTACGTATGGAGTTCTGCGTTGTCTCTGACTGACTAACTTATAAATACTTGATTCAGCTTTTTACGTTCATGTTGCCTTCTCTGTACAGATAGATTGGTTGATCTTCGTCAGTTTAGATTACTATAATTTGTCTTCAATTCATTGAATAATTAACAAGTCTTTACTTGCTTTTGTGAATCTATTTGAAACATTTGCTCATCGGATAAGAGTAGACTCAAATATATATCTGTTTTATCTATGAAAAAGAGAGTTTCTTTGAACTCCAAGATATTAGGATTCTGTTATGGAGTTCTTCAAACTATTATTTAGAGTTTAGAACCCAGGACCTATCAGTTTCAAGCACGAACTGAGCTAGCCGGGATCTAACGATGTTATTGTCTAATTTCATTTAAATCACCTATCATCTGGACCTTTTCTATATTCAATAAATATTTATTCATTATATTTTACATTCATTTAATATTTTAAATAATAACTGTAGAATCTAAGATACCAATTAGTGATGATAGTTAATTTAATTTTTAAGTTTCACTTGTTACCCCCCCCCAAATGCCTTGATACAGCCGAGAGTGGGGTGAGCGAACTCTCTCTCTCGAAATGCTCTCAAGTGGCCACATGCATACAACCACTGACAGGGAAGTCCTACTCATTGCCTTCTCGTGGCATTACTGTTATTTAAGAAATTGAGAGGACGAAAAACTAATGTCCGGTGCTTTGACCGGGTTGGTGGATATGGAGGATCCACCTAGAGAAGTTGGAAAACCTTCATACCAAACCAATGGTGCACATAGGCTGCAGAATCCTATGGAAATAAATGGCATATGGACTAATTGTTGGTCACCGGCTACCATGGGAATGCATCTGCTGATGTTGCTCCACTCCCTTATTGGATTAGACTTTTACGTCTAAGGCTGCAGATTTGGCCTCATAAGAAAACCACCTACATAGTTTGGGCACCCGGGTAGTATCCTAGCCCTCACACAAGTCGAATGATTTATGTGGAGCATATCTATTTAGTACCTCTGTTAAGTTTATCTTACATTGTTCCTACTCACTCTCTTTCCCCTCTTTTGTATATTGTTTTATACTACTTATTCATATTCAGTAAGCAAGTGTATCCTTAACAATTTTCACACATTGTAACGCAAGTTGTACTGTAACATTCTGAAATGTTCACATATATTTATAATGTTTATTGTACTTATCATTGTATTTGTCATTATAATCACTGTACTTTAATTACTGTAACGGTTATCCACAGTTGTGTATTTGTTTAAACTCAACAGTTTCCATATTGTTTGCTCTTTGTTCGAGTTTCGATTACTCATAAACTGTTGTCCCATTTACACACAGCTATCGGCTGTCTTTGTACTATCATATGTTATAATCATTCTTTATGTTACTCTTAGAGGAAGCCTTTGTTATTTTCATTTTTGAAGGACGAGTTTAAACGCCTAGACACCTCACAAGTTGAAGTTTGTAATTAAATTTTGTGTTTCATTTAATAAAGAACCGCTTTTGTAGACAAATCGTTGTTTTGGAACTTCGATTTTGTGCGTATCTCAATCGGGGTTACTTGAACGTTTCGATAGAATTAACAACCTCCTTATACCATTGTTTATGTGTTTGAATAAATAAATGCTAGTAAAGATATTCATTTCTGAAAAACATTTTACATTTCAATAATGGATATAATAATGTGATTGTATATGTTATTCAACCTACATAAAGGAACATATCAGTCTTATTCAATGAATGAATATCCTATTTAATTATAGTTTCCACCACTTTGTTTCTCTATCTGTTTTATTCATATCGATAATCAAATAATGATGAATCAATTTTAATGAAAAGTACATACATATATGTTCTTTACTTTTATATCATCATCCCTAAAGCAAATCTCATTTCAGTAGTTTTGTAAAGTCTAAAAATATAACATTTTTATATAGTTTATCTTCTGTTAATTCAATTTAGGTGTATTGTCAAAAGTGTCAGCAATATTCCTTAATTAATAGTTTATTTATTTATTTTAACACATAGATATTTGTACAAAGCGGCACCAAATACATATACGTATACATATATACATATACATATATGTGTGAGGGCTGAGATATTGCCCCGGGTTATCGAATCGAAGTGGATGGTTCTCACAAGGATCCACATTCGGAGCCTTTGACCTAAAGGTCTGATCCACGAGGCAGTGGAGCAATGTTAGGAGATGCAGTCCCATGGTAGCCGGTAACCAACGATTGGTTTATACGCCATTTGTTCCCGCAGGATACTGGATCCAATGTGTACCATTGGTTTGGAATGAGGGTTTTCCAACTCCCCTAGGTGAACTCTCCATGTCCATCAACCCGGTTAAAGCGCTAGAGTTTCACTTTTGTCCTCTTAATTTTGTAAACAACACCACCTCCACGAGAAAGCAATGAGTAGGACTTCCCCGGCAGAGGCTATATACGCGTGGCCATGTGAGAGTATTTCTAGAGCGAGAGCGAACTCTCCCCAATCTCGGCTGTACCAGGGCAGTTGTGGTTAATTTAATAATTCTCTAATTATTTTTTTGTTTTTTTAAACTGTTGAATTATTGAATACATTAAGATGATATGCTATTACTTATGTTATATTATTATTCAGTTTATTTAACGGTTAATATGATTTCATTTCTGAAAGCACTGGACGAACATTTCATCCTAATATCGAACTTCTCAGCAGTACGCACTCATGATCCCGCACGAGGGATTCGAACCCAAAACCTTCGGTATCGCATGCGAATATTTAATCTTTAGATCACTCGATACGCACTGATGAGGAGTCATGTAATAAGACAAAATGGCTTTTCAGTGCTTTCAGGTTTTCCAGGGTGGTCTAGCTTGAATTTATATTTACACTATCATTCTTTATTCTTTTTTCTGTTTTAACATTTGTCTATTTAATACTATATCCCTGTTATACACATATTGATCATTTCGTGATAACACAAATACCTACACTGATATTAAAACGTCATAATAAACTTTTATATTCTTTGAATACTGATGTGAACAGAGAAACAAGAAACCTTGACAAACTACGAAAACTACTTTTTGGGACGTTATTCCATTTTATTCAAAGCTTGTAAAACACTGACATTTATTTTTGTCCCTAAGCTATTCTACAGAACATAAGCTTTCCTTTGATGTATGATTCACTATCACAGCCCTTTTTGTTCCAAAGCTATTGTAATTTAAACGTATTAGTTTGTACTTCATTTTCTATACTAATCCCCAGTGTTGGACATTGTGGTAGGTTAATCATCTATTTATTCATGTATCTTTTTACACTGATCTGATATCGGGAAATCAGATCGGAATTGAGAATACATCGACTAGTGTTCTAGTTGACTTATCTTCTTTCGCTCGCATGCTTATCAGCCAATCAGGTGATAGAATAGTTTTCTTCTCTTTATCCCAATTCAAACTCACGCATACTGACCTCAAGTTTAAGCTGGTCAGCCTATGGGGTCAAACTGTTAATCTCTAGATTAGACAAGTTATCCTCAGCATCAAAAGTGGGTAGACAGATCAAGGACGTAACAAATACATTAAACAGTAAAACAACTTACCTAATGCTGCACATACGCCATTCACTATATCATCTGAGGATGGATATAATCGAATGTTTGTATTTAATGAACAATGATCTTTGAATGATTTTTCACCTTTAACATGATGATCACGATGAATGAACCTTGATAAAGTTTCGTTCAAATTCTTACATATTGATAAAGCTGAAGGTTGAAAACTAGGTTGATTGACATGTACATTCATAACCATTTTACTTAATTGATTCTCTGCTTGTTTCTTAATATCAGTGAATTGTTTATCATTATCTTTACATTCACTCTCATCTACAATTGAAATACTTGACAGTTTTTGTTTGTTGTCTATTCCAAAAGAAAATATTAATCTATCAATTGACTTATCACAACTATTGAAATTACTACTATCTCCACAAAATCTCATTTCTGATACTAATCAACATATGCTCACTAGTGACTAGCTTCAAGAGGTATTTTCTGGAGTTCTAGTGAGAAGCAATGACCAGTGGAGTTCAACCAGGTCAGTTGTGAGATAGTAACTCACTGAAGGCAATGATAGATGTGTCGCTCAATTTCGTGTATTAGTTGAAGTTAGACATTAACATCACTGGATCCCGGTCATCTCAGTGGTCTAGAGGATAAGCGCTTGCGCACGAGACTGTTAGGTCTTGGGTTCGAATCCCGTGAGGTGGGGTCGTAAATGCTCACTGCTGAGGGGTCCCGAAATAGAACGAAACCGCCATCCAGTACATCCAAGTTTTCCATGATAGTATAGCTCCAAATGGCTCATGATCTTGACTACTGAAATTAAAATAACAGTAAACTTTTTATGCTATTATAATAACTGAATTCACTTGGTGTTGTTCTACTCGAATCTTCTCATTGATGATTAAGACTGTAATTGATCAGTCTTTTATTGGAGTAGGTGCATCCTGTGCAGATTGCCTCGATATTGCCTTCATTCACAAGCATTCTAAGCAAAGATAGATAGTGGCTAGTAGTGGAATCCAGTCCGACTCGCGTCTCAACCTATTTGGCACTCGTCAGTTAGATGTACCTGCATCTCAGAGTTGATGTTCTCTCTGGGACTCAAACTCAGTACCACTCGATTCAAACGCCATTGAGTCTATCAGGACTCAGTAACTAAATGGACATGATAAACATTGTAAACAAATACTAACAGCGCTAGTTTTAAGAACTCGTACAATTACCAATAAGTAGTAACCCATAAAAATTATAAAAAAAACAGAGTTTACAATTAGGATTTTGTAAAAATTTCATAGAACAGTTGGTTTTGGTGAATATCTCTAAAAAAATATACAAATTAATTCAACAAAGAATAACTATTACAGTTTTGTAGTTTTCAGTCCCTTATTCCTAACTATCTAACAAATGATTTTGTTTTAATTGAGATCATGAATCGATCAATCACAAACCCCCATAAAAACCTGGAAGTACTAGACAGAAGTTTCGTCCTAGTGTAGTGAATAAGAACACAAATGGGGAAAATCCAATGTATTTGAACACAAAGTTATATAGGGAGAGCTGACTCTCCACATTCTCGGTCATACCAGGGTATTTTGGGGCCATCAAAACAATAGAATCGATTGTAAATGTAGTGATGTTTCTAAGATGATTTAAGAAGAAACAACTGTTAGTGCAAAATTTGAACTATACAAATCTATTTAATTAAACTATTTGTATAACTTTTTATCGTATCCTAAATTCTAATTCATGTTAGCTGACATACTGACTATCCTGTCCAACAGAGGAGTGATTTGGACATTATATCACAACATAAAAACGGTTGGTCGTGCTGTAGTGAACGAGTGGGGACAGATGAATGTATTTGAACACATAAATTACAGAACATCTCAGTAAAATCTGACATCCATACAGTAAATACTTCATTTGCAATATGTCAATCCACTGTCTCAAATTTGACTGTTCCTTTGCAAATATCAGTCCATTGTTTCGGATTTCATTGTTCATGCATTTTCATATCAATTGTGTTCCGTTCCCATTCTTTCCTTATTCGTCTTCTCAATCTTCTGCTGCCAAACATTACATTCCTGACTAGCGTTATATGCTACTTATATCAATAAAAGTAACCCACACCATACTACTTATATCTGTCGACATCAGTAGCACACACTGAACTAGTATGGGACTCCTAGAACGAAACGGTCATCGAATGCTTCCAGATTTTCAATCGTGGTCTGACATTGATCAGTTCATGATCTCAATTAAAATGCAACAATCTTCACAACTCCCATAATCATAAATATTTTGTTGCTAAATTTTCAAAATATTAATTTGGATTCCAAAAGATCTTGATCTTCACACTGTTGTCGGTATATATTTTTGACAAGCAATAAAATATAATAGTCATCAACGAAATTATTGACACACTAAACAGATAATACGAATTCCTTGGTTAGTTTTCGGTAAATTGTTTATTCATCAATCAACTCTAGTTGTAAATATTCAATGTTTTACTAATATTCCTTCGAAATAAATGTACAGTAATGACATATACCAGACAAATGCCCTGGTACGGCCGAGAGATAGGAGAGCCAGCTCTCTCTCTCCAAATGCTATCACACGACCACGTGTATACAACTACTGCCACACAAGTTCTACTCACTGCCTTCTCGCGGCGGGGGTATTGTTTAAGAAGTTGAGCGAACGAAGAGTGAATGTCCGTTGCTTTAATCGGGTTGGTCAGTCAGTAACAAAGTAGAACTTCGTACGTATGTACATTAGTTCGAGTTGCCACACTACCTTGGCACAGAGATGCAGTTGTCGATTCAAATCCCGTAGTGGTAGAGGTAGTAGAAGTATAAGCAGTAATCGGAAACATTGGGTTTGAAGATGTGATTCAAGGAGTATAATCCAGTGAAATAAATTTGGAAAGAAAAGAAAGGGGACATGAAGAATTCAGAAGATTAGAATTTAGGAGAACAAAAAGAGTGGATGCACCTGTGCCATTGCAAACGATTTTGAGCCATGTCATTCAGGGTCTCTAACCATCGGTTGCTATCATCTCGCGGTTCTCAACCAGGTAGTCTACACCTACCAACATGACTCAGTCCACTTTTCAGTGATTTCATGGACTATGTGCCATGTTTCGGTCTGGCCTCTCCTAGCTTTCTTCCAACCTACTCCTACATCATAAAACATCGCACGTCGGCGCAGTCGGTGGTTGGGCATACGTAACATATGTCCCAGCCACCTCAACTGATAAAGCTTCACTACTTCATCAATTGATTTGCCATCCTTACCTAGTACCCGTTTCCTAACAACTGTGTTACTTACTCGATGGTCCCATGATATACGAGCAATGTTTCGCAGACACCTATGATCGAATACTAGTAACATACGAATATCCTCTACTCTTACCGGCCATGTTTCACTGCCATAAAGTAGGACGGAAAGAACTGCTGCGCAGTAAACACGTCCTTTGGTTGATAGACGGTTATCTCGCCTACGTGATAAATGACGCAAATTGGCAAAAGCTAGTCGAGCCTTCTGTATCCGTGCTGAGATTTCGTCACACACTAAACCACAAGGGCTGATGAGACTTCCAAGATAAGTGAAGCGATCAACACACTCAACTACTTCACTCCCTATCACTAGTTCGGGTGTCGATGTAACCCAATCCTGAAGCATAATCGGGTTGGTAGGCTCAAAGGATCCACCTAGAGAAGTTGGAAAACCCTCATTCCATATTAATGGTGCACATGGGCTCCAGTATCCTGATTGAACAAATGCCATATGAACGAATTGTTGGTCACCGACTACCATGTGACTGCATCTCTTAACATGGCTCCACTGCCTTGTGGATCAAACGTTTAGGTCGAAGGCTTGGGATATGGCCCCCTAAGAGAACCACTTGTTTTGGTTTGGGCAGCCAGGCAGTATCCTAGCTCTCACACAAGTCGAATGATTTGTGTGGCGCATATCTATTTGGTACCTCCTTGTTTCGATGTTTATGTGTTTAAATAAATAGACAAATAATAAAATGAAGTAAGGTACTTTAATATGAAAATGTTCTATTTACTTGTGTTGTCAGCCTGTTGAACATTTTTTTGAGCTTCCTCAAAGTGAACATTTCTATTACACATTTCTCTATCAAATGAAGACGATGATTGTTTGTTTAACATTTTCTTATTGATTTGTTCATTTTCTCCATGTTCATCAGTTAATAAGTTACACTGTTGTTTTGATGGTTTTAATTTTGGACTATTTCCAGTATTTAACTCATTCGATATAGGATCGTTATCTTTTTCAAATAAATCCGATAATAAAGACTCAGTATCTGTATCCCAATCATCCGGTACAGAATTTGATAAAGGCTAAAACAATGAGAAAATTCATGGGAACACATTACAAATGGGAAGTACAACTATGAATTTGTTGAATGATTAAGTTAATATGATTACCGAAATACAAATTCTGCTATAACGATGAGTATAATATACTACATAAAAACTAATATAACATTGAGCGAGAAAAAACTGATATATAAACTAAATGTTAATTATTGAGTTCATGAGTCAATTGATGCTAGACTATCATGGAAAACTTGAAAGCATTGGATAGCCGTTTGGTCTGGTTGTGGGACTAATACTCCTCAACAGTGTGTATCCACGATCCAAAGTCGCGGGATTCAAACCTAGAATTTATCGGACGCTTAACCTCTAGATCACTGAGATGACCGGCATCCAACGGTGTTAATATCAAACTTCAACTAATCGACGAAATTGAGCGACACATCTATCATTGCCTTCAGTGAATTACTATCTCACAACGGACCCAGTTGAACTCTACTTGTCACAGCTTCTCACTAGAACTCCAGAAAATACCTCTTGAAGCTAGTCACTTGTGATCATATGTCTTTGTTGTTTTGGTCAGAGAAAATAATTTAGGCCACAGAAATATAAAGTTACCATTAACATAAAACGAAGGATAAAGTTCCCCTTAAATGTTGAATTGTAAAACTATTGATTTTTCAAAACGTTTTAAACAATCTATGAGAAATATGTTACTTCATTCATGAAAAGTAATCAGGGTTACTTATCCACGGGAGTAAACTGTTTAGTTATTAGAAACAACAATATAGATGTTTTTTTGTACTATTTAAACGTGTATTTATTTAATTTGTTTATTAATCGACTCTGAAGAAGTAGCTTACATTAAGTCACGAAACGTCAGACAAACAATATTCTACAGGTGAAATGTGTTTTCAGTAGCGGTGAAATAAAATAACAAAAATGTAATAAAGAACAATTATAAATCATCTGTATATACCGAGAAGCATTGAACAATGAATGATCTCACGGGGTGTGATCGTAGATGCGTACTGCTGAGGAGTTCGATAATAGAATGAAATAGCCATTCAATGCTTTCAAGTTTCCAATAGTGGTCTAACACTGATCCTTTCATGATTTCAACTAAAAACTCAACAATCTTCACAATCCTATACTAATAAATTCGCTTTCCTATAAAATATTAAACCTATGAAGACAAGTAAATTTTCAAATTTCATACCCTGAGCCATACAAGGTAGCCTCAGCTTGTATCAGGCAAACCTAGTATTTAGTGGATAATTGTAAATATCAGTCTATTCAGTCTTCAAAACTGATCAAACAACTTATTAATCAAGTCCCCTACTGGCATGAACGGTGAGACTATAATTTATGAACAAGCCTATGAGAAGTGTTTGAGAGACTTCAAGGTCATGGCGCCAACTATGTAATAATTTCTTAAAAACTCACGAAGTCTATTGTTATTATTCGTATTACGTAACTTATTGTTATAATCTTTTCATTACGTCATCTTGGTTATTCGTGTCCACATTTACTGACGAAACTAGTATTTTAACAAAACAATTTTCATATATTTATACGATTTTACAGCTTGACAATATATTCATTGAATTGTGCGTGATTCATTAAATTAATCCTTTAAATGCAACCGAGATGTATACTTCAATGAAGAGAAAATTCTCCTTGTTATCTATATAAATCATAAGATTTGAGTTCTTATGAAAATATGTTGACTACATTTCAAATAAGCTATGTTGCTATGTAGAGCTGAAGGTCTCATATGAGACTGGAGGTTCGCCATTGATATTGTGGATGGTTCAGCATTACTTTGACAAGTTTTACCGACTGTTCATGTGCAAAACTGGTGTGCTGGTTAACCGAATTCATTCATACTGATGGTTGCTTTTCAGGGTTTTCAAGTGTTATTGTCATTGGAACATTGTAAGACATGTCGCCATTGCCAACATTAATGAGTTTGATTGTCGTGTAAACGGAATAGGTCAACTTGTGACCTGTTCGTGATGTCCATAAGTGATCTACTGAATCAATGATCGAAATAATTATACATGTGACATGGATGTGTATATGAATGGTGCGAATGGTCCAGCAGGTTACTCGATACCTGTATGGTTTCGCCAAAGGATTGAGCTGTACTATTCAGATTGTAGTGTTAAAGGCTACACAGTGTCTGGTTCTCCCGTGAAGCGAGATTGAGCTGTATTATTATTATTATTGTTTGAATACATAAATATTGGTACAAGGAGCACCAGATACATATGCGCTACATAAACCACTTGATTTATGTTAGGGCTGGGATACTACCTGGGTGCCCAAACCGAAGCAGGTAGTTTTCCAAGGGGACCACACCCGGGGACTTCTACCTAAATGTCTGATCCACAAGGCATTGGAGCAACGTCAGGAGATGCAGTCCTGTGGTAGCCGGTAACCAACGATTGGTTCATAAGCCATTTGTTCCCTCAGGATCCTGAAGCATATGTGCACCATTGGTTTGAAATGAGGGTTTTCCAATTCCCTCAGGTGGACTTTCCGTGTTCACAAACACAATTAAAGTGCTAGAGTTTCGCTTTTCGTCCTCTGAATTTCGTAAACAACACCCCCGCCACAAGAAGGCAGTGAGTACGATTTCCCTGGCAGAGGCTATACACGCGTGGCCATGTGAGAGAATTTCGAGAGGAAAAGCGGACACGTCTCACGCTCGGCCATACCAGGGCATTTGGGGGCGAGAGATTGAGCTGTACTCTTCGGGTTATAAAGTTTAAACCTGGATGGTGTCTGGCTCTTCTGTTAAACGGGATTGAGTTGTATTATTTGGGTTATCTCGTGAAAGTCTGGATGGAATCTAGGTTCTCCTGAAAAGCAATATAAAATTACCCTGGCCCGAAAAGGTATATCCTATCATATAACATTACAAATAAACATAAACAATAACACATATATTTAACTTTTCACTTACTAATGTATTTGATGAAATTATTTGATCTAAAAACTTTTCAAGATGATTTACAATACGCTTTCTTAAATAATAAGCATCTCGTGTATGTAATAATTTAAGTTTTTGCTTTAATAGTATATATCTCAATTGAGCTATAAGAGTTGATCTTGGTGTCATATAAACAGATTGTGTAATTTTATGTTTCTTATATTCTTGAGAAGATTTCTGATTATTGTCAAGTTTTGTATTATAGGTAAGTAGTTGTTCAATCCATTCAGGATTTAATGTCGACTGTTTTATTCCTGGTTGAATTCTATAAGTGTGATAACATGTACATTCATTTTGATCGTCAAAATCTATGGTCTGAACTGAAAATGGATAGATTAAAAACAATGAAATAGTTTAAATTACATCAGTATCAATTTTTGTTTTGTTTTACTCTTCATAGTTATGGTTATTTCTTAAAGATTTAAAATATTGTTTTCATTATCATTCCCTTTATGTACTACACAACTCCGCCTGGAGTTGTTACAAGTGTTTAATAACAATCGCCTACGCAAAATACTTCGGATCCGTTAGCCAGACACTATTAGCAACAACCTACTGTGAGAGAGAACAAACGAAATCCTAGAAGATAAAGAAATCAGGAAGAAGCATTAGAAGTGGATAGGACACACATTGAGGGTAGCACCGAGCTGTGTCACAAGACAAGCCCTCACATGGAATCCTTGTTATGACTTTAAGTTGCGGTAGATTTTTACCCTGTGCTAATTGTTGTGTCCTTGACTGGAAAATTAGAGAGCAGTGTATTATATCGATCGATTACAGTGACACGTAAACACGTACGGACGGCCTAGAGTCTCGATTGGTCTCGCTTCCCTGTTTAGCCCAGCCAATTGAGTCCAGAACACAAGTCACAACCTCTAAGGTATAAATCATTATATTTCAAACATACTTTGTTTATTTACCAATCAAGCATACCACATCGTACCATAAAATAGAAAACAACATTTTGTACAATATTCAACAAGTGAACAGATATTGACCAATAGGAAATGTCCATTTAAAGTCCAAGAACACCGTTGGACTTAACATGATAATTATTGGTCTATTCCTCCGCATCCACAACAATCCTCAAGGCCAAAGGAGGAGAAGAGGAAGACCAAACAGCACATTACTTCGAGAAATGGAGACAGAAATGAGAAGAATGAACAAGGATTGTGTAGAACTAGAAAGGAAGGCCCAGGACAGATTACGTCGAAGAATGCTGGTCGGCGACCTATGCTCCACTAGGAGTAACAGGCGTAAATAAGTAACTTATGTACTACACATCAGTCATTCAGTTACAACGTATATAGATCGGTCCAAGTTGCCATAACCTCATTATCACAACAAGATGAACACCAAATTCATAGAAGTAGTTACTTCATTGATAGTAATATATAAAAGAAACATTATGTACTACACACCAAACGATCTTATTTCTTTTGACCAACAAATTCCTCTATTCGTTTGGTTGACACTGACCGTTTTATTACTGAGATATCGTAGATATAAATAACAGTTCAGTAGTGTTTATGTATCCACTTCATGTTGCGAATCTAAAAACTTTTAGTTTAAAATCAGGCACCTACCAATTGTCTTAATAGGATTATAAATGAAGCGTTAAACGATCAACAAGTCGTTATCTAAGCACATCAGTTTAGCAAGGAGTTATTTATTTATCAGATCGATAAAAAAAGACTATACGAAATAAGAATCCTTTCAATGACAAACACTGTCATAGAATCTCACGGTCAACAGAGTCAAATGCCACATTAACGTCGAGAAATACTACCATTGTGGGGCGTCTGAATGTGTGTCTGTGTTCTAGAACCTGACGTAGTGTGAATATCTGATCTATACAACCACGTCCAGGTCGAAAACCGGCCTGGTTTTCTCTAATCTGCTCTTCACGAGCTTTGATTAGGCGTCGAAGTATTATTGAGGCTAATATTTTAGACACTATATTAGTCAAACTGATTCCTCTGTGATTGTCACAGGAGGACTTTTGTCCTTTCTTATAGACTGGCACAATCAGTGATTGAGACCAGTCAGATGGGATTACGTCCAGTTCCCAAATTCTACCTAAGACCTCGGTTAATCTCATTGCTAATACTGGACCACCATCCTTAAAAATCTCAGGAGTAAACCTGTCAGGGCCTGCTGCTCTCCCTCGTTTCAGATTTCCTATTGCTTTTTCAACTCCGTAAAGAGTCGGTGGACTTACATTAACTTGTCGTTCAGGTCGACTGGAGATCGTAGGCAACCGAAGTATGGCTGAAGACCAGTTGAACTGATCCCTAAAATGTTCTGCTCATCGATCCGATCTCCTGGGTTGAGAATGTATAACAACTTTACTTCTTATATATAGTGTTCGTCTGACAACTAACCAGGCATTTAAGACTAATTAACAGTTTCATGCGCGTTTCGTCCTACTCGAGACTTATCAGCTGTATGTCCCCGCATCGCAGAGTTGATGTTCACTACAGGACTCGAATCTAGTACCATTAGCTTTAAATGCCATTGTGTTATCCACTTAACTACTGATTCCTGATGACCATTTGCTTGTGTAATGGGGTGAAGTTTAAATTCACTTGGTATTGTTTAGACACAGTATTGCCTCGAAATTGCTTCAAGTCACAAGCATTATAAGCAAAGATGGATACCAATAAGAGACTGATCATATGCAGTCCTAAACATCAATAGGAAGATTCAATACGACCCTATCATCAATCTTTGACTTTAAATTATAAGATTTCTGGTTAAATCTGTCGAGATTATGAATTTATCATATGAATATATTTACAGCTACACTGAGAGATTTAAATGAACAAACTGTACGATGTCTGAAAATTACTCAAGCATTACAGTAAAATACTCATAGTATCTAGTTGTTTTTATCAAGATGTAACTATGAAGGGAATAAAATAAAATCGAACTCAATCACTCATTGATGATGTAACAAACAACTGTTCATAAATATCAGTCAGTTAGCTACAAAATAGAACCAAATACATATATGCATCGTTCCAAGTTGCCATACCTAACTCATTAGCAACAAATTCATAGAAGTAGTCGTTTCAATGGTAGTAATATATAGAAGAAAGGTTATTTATAAGGATATAGTACATGTATTCACATATTTCATAACGAAGTACACAACAACAAAAAACGGACGAGACTATAATTTATGGACGACCATTGAACGAATCTTAAGTGACCTTGATATATATTAGTCAATCAGCAAACAGTCAGAGGTTATAAAATCGTAATGCATGCAGTAGAGGAAATTATGCACATGGCTACAGAATAGTCTGTCCCTGAATTCATGATAAGGTCAAAAAAACTCTCAGCCTCGACCACATAGCTTCAATATTGTTTGTGTACACTCCGGTTGTTGAGTACCGAAAATGACACTTGTGGATAACGACACGATGCACAAGACCAAGCCTATGTAGGAGTCTGTAAACTCTCCAATCATCCGTATATATTGTAGTACCTGGCTGCAGCCAATGTTACTGGTGCTTTTATTATCCAGTTCGCGATAATTGTCATAATTTGCCTCAGTTAGGAATTATATATGGGGTTTTCATCACGAACTGACATCAGCTATCATGCCAGAAATCTATTTAGCCAAATGGATGAAAGGCTTTCGTGCCCAAATCCGAGATCTATTATCTTATACCTGATTGATTCGTCCACAAATTATAGTCTCGCCGTTTTATTTGTTATAGCTGTTCAATTATCACGTTTTGTACAAAATTCCCTATGAACCGATCGTACGTCAGCACTAAGCACTGAAGTTAGCGCCGTGAACTTGAAATCTCTCTAACGCCTCTGATTGGCTCGTCTATAAATTAAAGTCTTACCAAAAAGCGAATAATTAATGTTAATATATCAATCATATTTCAGAATGTGATGAAGCTGTAGATCTTACCTAACTTAGTATCGAACTTCTTAACATTATCTTTTGAATGATTACATGAATGTGTAGGAACACAATTCACTTTGTATACATTAACATCATTTTGAACTATTGGATCATTATAATCTATTATAGGTTGACTAGTACAGATAGGACTTAATATAATTGAATTTGATTCAAAATCATCTTTAGATAAATAATTTTTACATGTTAAATATTCATTTGGCTTGTTATTTTCATTATGTTGAACTTTCATATTTTGAGTTAATAATGGACAAGTAGTAATTCTTGTATTACATGATGATGTAACAGTTGATCTAATATGATGATGGTGGTATATTGAAGATAAATCTTTGCTCTGTTTATTCACATTCAAAGAAGATAAATCAATCGTTTGACTCTGAAATACAAGTATTATACACAAAGATAAAATTATTTTTTATTATGAAAAGGTATTTTTAAGATATACTGAAATTTCCAATGGAGCCATTCTAAGGTTATCCCCGATCTCGAACCCTGGAAAGGAGGGTTGGATATGGGGGTTACCAACTCGACCCCATAAAAAATAGCTCTGTTAAAAAGACGTAAACCATAAAATTTCATTTAAATCATTTAAAATCAGTCCTTAGAGTTAAATGATATTTACGTAGAAGATTTATGGCACCCCATAATGAAAGCCAAGATTTTTTTGTATAACAAGGCAGTTGTCCCTTTTAACAACTAAAGCAACAAATTATTTAGGTACAGTGAGTGTCTGGACAGGTTACGTGGCCGGAAGGATCATTCGAATAGCACTGAAGACCAGTAAACGAAACCCACAAGATACAAAATGAACAAAAAAAGATTATAGTTGCTGCTGTACTCTGGTCACAAAGTACAGAAACGTTTGCATGGATACTTTCCAAAGAAATGAAGATTGTTCTTAACGAATGAGAATCTTGTAGCTTCGGGATCAATAAAGCATCCTTAAAAATAAAAGAAGGTAGCCATTGTACTGAATGTTATTGATTACTACTCACCCACCAATGACAGTAACAAAGAGAGAGTGCAATTTATCGTAGAGAACATCCAAAGAAAATACCTGACCACAGGATATAGATCTTAACATTCATGAAGGAAAAAGCGAGATCCTAGAATAGTGAAAGGATATAATCAACCAACGAATACTTTGTAAAACATTATTAATAAATAAAGATCACTTATTTTTATCTTTAACTTACCGTAGAAGTTTTAGGTATATGGAACATTCTATGTATACCAGTATTCTCTCTACTGACTATCTCAGTTTCATTAAATTTATTTCGGGGAACTTTATTTTCAACAGAACTAAATGAAAGACAATGTTCTTGTTTCATTGAAGTTGTGTCAGTCTGACTGAATACAGTGACACAGGTTGGTATGTTTTCTGAAGAAGAAAAAAACAACGTTTAATGATAGAAAGAAAGAAAAGATTCTTTCTATCATGAAATTAAGTATTTGAATATGATGTAGAAATATCAACAGCCTCATTTGAAGGTAAACATAATTCAAATCTAACAGTCAATGGTAAGAGACTACTCATTATGGAATTGAGTAGTTATTCAATATAAACAAGCGGTTTTCAATTTCTTTTGTCATACAAGAGAAACAATCTATCAAAGATTATTTCTATCTGTTTCTAGGGGAAATTAACAAGAGTTCATCGAAAACCTGGAAGTCACGTGCGCGAGACTGATAGGCCTTGGGTTCGAATCTTGCGGGGGGGTGGGATCGTGAATACACACTGCTGAGGAGTCCCATGCTAGGACGAAACGGCCGTCCAGTGCTTTCAGAATTTCCATGGCGGTCTAGCTTAAATTGACTCATGATTTCAACTATTGAAATTACTAAAATCTCCACAAAACCCCTTCTGATACATATTTTTAGTAATTGTACTAATAGTGATCAAAAAGTAGTATAACCCAACTGACAAAAATTTAGGTCTCAGCCACATACAACACAATGATAATCCTGCTTTGTAATCATTCTTTACTCTATAAATCAATTGTTTACATTTTTTCTTGACATCCAAACTACTTGGGATTCGTAATGACATTTCTCTTTGAATGGTTGAGCCAACACAGTGTCTGGTAGTACTGATTCATTACACGTTTTCTAAATTAATATTCAGCTTCTATTCACTTAGTGTTGTTTTACTTGTATCCTCCCAATATTATTTAGGACTGCAATTAATCAGTGTCTTATTGGCATATGTGCATCCTGTGCGGATTGCCTCGATACTGCCTTAAGTCATAAGCTTTTTAAGCAAAGATGGATAGCGCGTGCTGAATTCCACTGCTAGCCACTATCCATCTTTGCTTAAATATATAGTTTCTGTCCAGAAAAAAAGACATTATAAACAACATAGGACCTAGTGAGTTAGTTACCATATCAATTAGCCTACCTCATAAAGACAGAAATAAGGATGAGGAAAAAGAAGAAAATGTGGGGGGATGAGGAGAAACAGAAAATTGCATATGAAAATATAAAATAAATCAAATAGTTGGGTAGTAAAAATTAAACAAAAGATTAACTGATGAACACGTCTGTACTAGTGAAATTAATTATAGATCACATCACTTATAGTAGTCACACTACGTCAATTTTGACAATCGGAATACTTACTAATCTAAAACATTTGATTTCTATGATCACTACTTTATTGATTATTTATTTAAACACATAAACATTGGTACAAAGAGGCACCAAATAGATACGCGTCACATAAACCATACGACTTATGTTAGGGTTGGGATACTGCCCGGGTGCCCAAACCTAAGCATGTGGTTTTCTTATGGAACCTTAAGATCTAATCCACATGGCAGTGGAGCAACACAAGGAGATACATTCACATGGTAGCCGGTAACCAACAATTGGTTCATACGCCATTGGTTCCCTCAGGATCCTGGTTTCCATGTGCATCATTGATTTGAAATAAGGATTTTCCAACTCGACCAAGTGTAACGAATGGTGACATGGCTCAGAATCGATCACAATAGCGTAGGTGTATATACTCTCTGTCTTCCTTTAAATTATGAGATCAAAATCACCTTATATCTTTCTTTCTACGGACTAATTCTTTCTTCCTGTACTATATCCTTATATGCAACCTTTTCTTTTTATATATTACCACCACTGAATTAATTACTTCTATGAATTCGGTATTCATCTTGTTGTGCTAATGAGTGAGGTGTAGCAACTTATACCGATGCATATATGTGCCTGGTCCTATGTTGTAACTGACTGACTGACTGACTGACTGAACCCCAGTCGCCACGAGAAGGCAGTGGGTATGACTTCCCTGTCAATGGCTGTATACGCCTGGTCATGTGAGAGCATTTCGTGAGGGAGAGCGAACTCTCCCCACACTTGGCCATACCAGGGTATTTGGTGGCGATTTTCATTGATTCATTCATGATATCAATCTAAACTCAACAATTTCCACAACCTTATACTGTTAAAATTTAGGTCTTGAAAACACTTACATTCAAATGTTTTCCTATATGTGTACATAAAGTAGAGTTTATATTGAGCAGAAATAATATGCAGAATTTTCAATTCATGTTAAATTAAATCGTTTTATTCAACTTACGTATTACATGATTAGAATGACATCCAGTCATAGATAAATTGCTATATTGTGAAGGTATATATTCAGGTAGATTGTTTGAATTGATTTTAGAAGCAGTATAATGTATATATGGTGAATTATGAGTAGTATATTGAGTAACTAATTGTATTCCATTAGAGAAGATTTTAGGATAAACGTTAGATAATGTTATATTCATATTATCAGATAACCATTTACATTCAGTAGTTAATATATCATTCTGAGTCTTTAAAGAAACAATAAGATAGAAATGGATAGAATTAGAATGAAACAATTATAATATTTAAAATCTATCTCAATCGAAGTGAATGTCAGATGAATCTTGATTGTATGAAATGAACTACTTCATAGCCATGACAACAGCACATAATGAATATCGTCATGGGGTATAAGAATACGTTTTCCCTTCTAGATAAATAATTATAGTGAATACAGATTAATTTAACATCGTGATGTTGAATCTAATCTGTTAGTATTCAAGGTTGCTCGAAACTACTTTAGTGAGATTAAAATATGTGGACGACCTTTGAGCGACAGTAAACTAACCTTGAGAGTGTCCACGTAGTAACTAGGACCAAATAAGGTTTATAAACCAGGGTAAGGAATTAGAATTATGATTTATAATTGATGATTAAGGTTAGAAATTCAGTTGTCCTTTACATAATGTATCATTCTTCAAATTCTATTGTTATTCCAATTTCTCTCCGTTTTCTTACCTGTTCTCTTCATATCAATCTAGTGCTGATAAGCATTCCATTTCCTATTCCTATTATATACTACTTATATCTGTTCACATTAGAAGTAACACACTACAATATAATTAATGCTGATGTGAGGATTGTCCCCGAATGAACTTAAGGAAGCCCTAAGAAGTTCAGAAAGAACCGAAGATATTCCATTCAATCATCGTTTGGAAGAATATTCTAGAATCCCTATGTGGAGCTACACTATTGGACAAATGCTAAAAATCCTCTTTATGCTGATTGGATCATTAGAAAATGATGATTTCATTCTTATTAAAAACTATAAATACCTGACTGTTTTGTATCATAATTGAAACTGTTTTAGAATATCATCCCTTTCAATTATCTTCTCTCTTCTCATTTGTAACTAAGGAGGGTTCTATCGTTCGAGTGCTGAAGTTATACGCGGTACATTAAGAATCTAAGCTTTAGATATAACAGCTAACAACTAGTCAAATGTTATATTGACGAAAGGAGCGATTAGTCCATTTAACTAACTATTTTCAGAAATCTTTCTGAATGTATGTTACTTATAATGAAGTAATTCTTTAAAGAGAAGTATTCATACAATAAACTAGAATTCAATTAGTGAAAAGAGGATAATAAGTGATTTAAACAAATTATAATACAACATTAACGAAGGGTGCTTCCAGGTTTTCCATGGTGGTCTAGCTTCAACTGACTCATGATCTTAACCATTGAGACCAATGAGATATAAGATAACAAAACTTGAGTTTTTGGCGCGAAATTCATTCATTCATTTATGCTGAATAGCATCTTGATATTTTAGTTAATGTTAGTTTGTGATGAAAACACTAAATCTAGTTTCCAACCGTAACGATTAACTGTAAATCAAAAATTCTAATTGTTCACACGGCTTTATAATTGTCATTTAGTCCTAGATAATAGGTGAATATTCTCAGGGTTACTTTAGCATCTCTCGAAAGTTGTCGATCATTTATAGTCTCAACGAGTTAACTATTTTATTATGCCCATAAATAACTACGCAGAAAGCTTAGAGATCTACGAAAGTCATCATCCAGAAGATACAGGTGTTTATAAACAGTCGTCTACTTCGGATCCGTTGGCCTGACACTATCAGCAACAATCTACTGTAGGAGAGAACAAACAAGATCCCAGTGGAGGGAGAAGCACTGGAAGTGGATAGGACACACATTGAGGAAAGCACACAACTACGTCACAAGGCAAGTCCTCACATAGAATCCTCAAGGTCAAAGGAGAAGAGGAAGACCAAAGAATACATTACGCCGACAAAATGGAGACAGATATGAGAAGAATGAACAACAATTGGATAGAAATAGAAAAGAAGGCCCAGGATAAATGGCGTCGGAGAATGCTGGTCGGCGACCTATGCTCCACTACGAGTAACAGGCGTAAGCAAGTAATCATCCACTATCTAAGTGGAATTCGGGACAAATCTGTATGGGTCAACGGTACAGCAATGCATATTAACACGAAAGAAAGCGGCAATTAAAAAGATGAAGAGCAGAGAATGAGAGATATTGCTCCCTACCCTAGTGGAAACTAAACATACGTGATATAGTTCAAAAGGGACGAATGAGATCCAGTTATAAAGTGTGGACTCAAGATTTAAGGGAAGATAGGGAATAAATTCATATGCTTTATTACCACTATCAAACCCTGACCATGGTAATCAAGATCTACAGACATAAATTAGGACCATTACTCTCAGTTCGAATACAAAATCTGAATATATCGACAAAAGACAGAGTACTAATCGTTGATGAAGTATCTTGACTTTTGACGCAAAATTCATTCACCCATGTGGCTAAACAGAACTCTTGGATTATATAGCTGATGTCAACTTGTGATGAAAATAGTAAATGTAGTTACTGATCTTAACTTCTAGTCCTAGGTCCTAGTACTAATTTCTCAGACTGATTCATAAACCTATTTTAAGCCTAAGAAGCAGAGTTTTTCAGGAATGAACAACATATGGATAGAACTAAAAAGGAAACTTAAAAAGGAAGGCTTAGGACAGAGTGAGTTGGAGAATGCTGATCGGCGATCTATGCTCCATTTGGGAGGGGGGAGGGTAACAGGTGAAAAAAAACTGCTGAAAACAAAGAGAAAAGAAATCAATAAATTGAAAACTTACACTTTTACAAATACTTATCCCGTTTGTTGTTGTTGGTGTTGTTGTTATCATTGATACTTTATCATTTTGAATAGATGGTGCAAATGATTTGGAAATTTCATCGATTTTTATATCAGTATTTTTAATCAATAAATGATCAAGTTCATTATGGGCATCATAATAATTAGGGGTAATTTCTTTCTCTAAAATGATATATAAAATTTACTTAAATATAAATTTATAGAATTCACAGGTAGTTGAAATAAATGAGATAACTACTGAATTCCCCAGGTATTGTTTGCTTATATCTTCCCACTGTTGTTTAGGACTGTAATTGATGAGTCTCTTATTGGTATATGTACATCCTGTGCGAACTGCCACGATATTACCTCAAGTCCTAAGCTTTATAAGTAATGATGAATGGTGGTTAGCAGTGGAATCCAGTTTAACAGGCGTTTCGTCCCATTTTGGACTCGTCAGTTGGATGTACCTGTATCCCAGAGTTTCTCAGGCTTGTTTCCATCTACCCAAGCCCAGTAGATAAAAAAATCATCGAAAAACATACAAAATGAATAGACATAAGACTGATGATAGTGAATGTTCAGAAGAATTCTCTACTATTAAAACTACAGTTTAAAAACGACATATGTCATGAAATATGAAGACAGGAGTTGGGAAATCGATTACAGAAAATGTTCACTACAACCCAACTGCATGGATTATCATAAACTCGTCCAATCATTACAACCATAAACATAGGCGGACTGTTTGCATTTGTCAAATGTAAGTGTAACTATCAAATTTACTGCTCTTGTGAAGCCAGTTATATAAAGAGCAGAATTAGAAAAATCTGTCATCACATCTGCGGATGTCATACTGCTTAGTTGAAGAAAGTGCATTTAAAGCCAATTAAAAGTTCTCTTCATATTCACTTGATTGATACAGAACATCCAGTTGACTTGAATAAAGCTTCTCGAGTTATTTACTGTTTTCCATCAAATACACAATAATTATCTAGATTTATATTAGAATCTAAGTTTACTGTAAACACTGTTATCAAACACGGCTAAGGGATATGACTGCTAAAGACGAATAATGTAACAGAATACAATTATTCTATGACAAATATTTCAGAACCATTGATTAGAAGTGTTGAAACTACCTACTGCTGTTAAATGCTAGTACTAATCATATACAAGACTAATCAGTTAACAAGATAGGAACCTTAAATAAACTGAAACAGTAAAGTTGTGGTACTAATTTCGAACAGCTACATATTCTGATAAATGAACCCTTCGAAATAACAAGCGCCCTAATTCCCTGGTACGGTCGAGAGTGAGGAAAGTTTACTCCCCCCTTTAAATGCACTCATATAGCTACATGTATGCAGCCACTACCACGGAAGTCCTACTCATTACCTTCTCACGGTAGGGGTGCTGGTTATGAAAACGAGAAGATGAAACGCGAGTGTCTAAAGCTTAAGCCGGGTTGGTGGATATGGAGGATCCATCTAGGAGAACTAAGTGTATGAAAAAACCATCTAGGGGAGTTAGAAAACCCACATTCTAAACAAATGGTGAACATCCTGAGGGAACAATTAGCGTATGAACCAATCATCGGTCACTAGCTACTATGGGACTGCATCTCCTGACGTCGCCCCACTGTCTTGTGGATCAGACCTCTAGGTTGAAGGCTCCGGGTATTTCTCCTCTAAGAAAACCACCTGCTTCGGTTTGGTCACCCTGACAGTATTTAACTCCATAAGCAGATCGGATGATGAATTGTGAGCACTTATATTTGGCGCTTCCTTGTACCAATATTGATGTGTGAGCGAGAATGATAGTGATTGCTTGTTTGCTTAGTCAGACATGCAGATCATCTGTCAGGTGTTAGATGAGTTATATATTTCCCTATCATTATTTATTATTATTGATTGTTCATTGTTGTTGGATTGTGTCGGGTTTCGATGAAGAAATATATTTACGCTCTAGTCAGGCTAATTACGTGCTCTTGATCTGAGTTATATTGACGTCCTTTAGAATAGACACTGGGAGGGAATCTAGAGTAGATATTCGTCTAAGATAAATTAGGATCCCACTAGTGTAGACGGGGAAAACCGAGTGTTACAACAAATATTTATATCAATGGTTAAGATCATGAGTCAGTTGAAGCTAGACCACTATGGAAAACCTGGAAGCACTGGACGGCCGTTTCGTCCTATTGTGGGACTCCTCAGCAATGGGCATATACGATCCCGCCGGCGGGGTTCGAACCCAGGGCCTTCAGACTAGCACTCGAACGCTTAACCTCTAGACCACTGAGTCGGCATCCAACGATGTTAATGTCTAACTTCAAACAATCCACGAAATTGCGTGACCATCTTTCATTGTAGTGAGGTAGATATGTCTCTACCCGACACGGATTAGCTCCACTGGTCAAGGCTTCTCAATAGAACTCCAAGAATTTCCTCACGAAGCTAATAACTAGTGAGCACATCGTAGTTATCAGTATGGGGTTGTAGAGATTATGTAACTAAATTTTTTATATTATTCAATAAAGAACCGTTATTTTAAACAAATCGTTGTTTTGCCAGCTTCGATTTTGCGCGTATCTCAATTTGGTGACTTGGACGTTTCGATAAACTTAATGATAGTACATGTTATCCTTTTAATCTATTCCAATTTATTAAAAAACGGAATTTGTTTTCGTTTGTGCCTTTAAGAGAGTTTATGACACATAGACATCTTATGATACGAGGTTGGTAAGTTCTATTGCTAGTGGTGTTTTCTATAGTAATATAATTTTCCAGATAAATTAGAAACTTCACACATCATGTGAATTTTGAGTTAGTGCCCTTGAAAGGATCCTGTATAGAGACTAATGCATGATTGGAACAACAATTCTTAAATCTGATTAAACTCAAGTTTATGTAATCCGAACGTGATCCTGTATGTTTAACAAGCTTTCCATAGTAAGTCATAAGTGTGGATTTAACAATAAATAATACTCAAAAGGGGTTTTGTGGATATTATAGTGATTTAATACTTGAATTCATGAACCAATTAAAGCTAAACTATCACGGAAAACCTGGAAACATTGGACGGCTTCAAGAGGTATTTCCTGGAATTCTAGTGAGTAGCTGTGACCAGTGAAGTTCAACCGGCTCTATTGTAAGAAAATAACTCACTGAAGACAATGACGGACTGTGGTGCAATTCTATGGATTGGTTGAAGTTAGACAGTATCAGCGTCAAATGCCGGCTCAGTGTCCCATAGGGTTTAGCATTCGAGGGTCCTAGGTTCGGATTTCACGAGTAGGATCGTGGATGTGAATTGCTGAGGAGTCCCGTACTAGGAAGGAATGCTCTTCCAGTGCTTCTAGGTTCCACATAAATTCAACTATTATATAAATAATACACATAAATAAATAGTTTCTCATTAAAAACAAAGTGCATTTTATAAGAAACAAAAAACAACAAATTACCACAATTTTCATCCATTATAACACTACTTCTACAACCTTCCGATTCTGCATCAAAACCATTTTGATAATATATATTTTCATTTAATGGTGTTACTGTTGTAATAGCTGAGTAATTATTTGTATCTATAATGAAAAAAATACACCATGACTAACTATAAAATGAGGTCTAATATACTTCAAAAGGCAGTCAACAACAAAAAACTGATGAGCACTATTGATTGATTGATGAAATTTATAATTAATATCTACCTAGTGATCAAATGATAAACATGAAATCTGAATACTATTAGAAAGAAAGAAAGAATTGTTAAGAACCATAGTATGTAGGGGTCATTCAGTCAGTCAGTCAGTCAGTCGGTCAGCTACAAAGTAGGACCAGGCACATATATGCATCGGTATAAGTTGCCATACGTCATTAACACAACAAGATGAACACCAAATTCATAGAAGGAGTTAATTCAATGGTGGTAATATATACAAGAAAGATTGCAATAAGGATATAGTACAGGAAGAAGGAATTATTTCGTAGAAAGAAAGATATGAAGCGATTTTAATCTCTTCGTTTAAGGGAAGACACAGAGTGTATACACCGACGCCACTGTGGTTGATTCTGAGCCATGTCACCAAGAGTCTCCAATCACTGGTTACGATAGTCACACGGTCCCCAACCAAGTAGCCTGCACCTACCAACATGGCTCAGACTAGAAGTCGGTGACTTCAAGCACTGGTACCACGTATTGGTTTGGCCGCCCCTAACCCTCTTCCAACCATCCCGAACACCGGTTAGCATTGCACGTCGTGGTAATCGGTGTTCAGGCATACGTAAAACGTGGCCCAACCATCTCAGTCGATGAAGATTCACAACCTCATCAACTGATTTACCATCATTTCCTAATACCCTGCATCTAACCTCACTATTACTTACCCGGTGATCCCAGCAGACGCGAGCAATATTTCTAAGACAACTGTGGTCAAATACTAGTAGCTTACGGGTGTCTTCTACTCTTAATGGCCATGTTTCGCTGCCAGTGGTTTTTAAATCATGATGATAGATGTAGATGGATAACCGCTATTAGTGGTTAGAGATCTTCGGTATTATGGCTTAGAATCCATCAAAATTACGCAGATGAATTCACTCTTTATCTTTCTGTATACCAATATACCTTCAAACATGCCTTCTAGAACCCTATTCCCCAGGTTTAGTTATTCTCATCGTCATTCCTATGACATTATTTAAAATTATTTGTTATGCATCTTGTTAGTCTCATCTTATCGTGTTAATTTGGCATGGCTACTTAAAATACAATTGAAAAGCATATGAAACTCAAAATAACTATCTGCAAGTCAACATCAAAGTTAGAATCTTCAATACGAACGTCAAGACAATTCTACTGTATGAAGCTGAAACTTGGAGAACTACTACAACCATCATCAAAAAACTACAAGAATTTATGAACAATTGTCTACACAAAATACTCAATGTTCGTTGATCGGATAACATCATCAACAGTCTACTGTAAGAGAGAACATACCAGCTCCCAGTTGAAGAGGGAATTAGGAAAAGATGTTGGAAGTGGATAGAACATATATTGAGGAAATCATCAAACTGCATTTTGAGGCAGGTGCTTACTTGGAGTAATGATGGGAAACGGGAAAGAGGAAGGCCAAAGAACTCATTACATTGGGAAATAGAAGCAGATATGAAAAGGATGAATAACACCGGGAAAAGCTGGAAAGGATTGCCCAGGACAGAGTTGGTTGAAGAGTGCTAGTAGGCGGCCAACGCTCATCCATGAGAGGTAATATGCGCAAGTAAGTAACTCAGGTCAACGCACATTTTCATCAGGTTTTACTTTAATTACGACTGACTGATCACCTTTGATTTAATGTTTTCGCAAATGTAATTAAAACCAAGTTACGCATGGATAGTAAAATTATGAAACTGCTCAGTTGTATTTTTCTGTACACCAATCGTCTACAGAACATATCTACAAATCTTAAACAGACACAACAACTCTACCTAAATGATCTTCTAACAACTAATTCCTGCATAAAACGTAGTTCAATTTTAAGCAAGAGAAACAAACAGAAAACATAAAGATGAGTTCTATTTCGATTTATTTATCTATTTATTTGGACACATAAATATTGATACAAAGGGGCACCGAATATATATGCACCACAAAAGTCGCTTGATTTGTGTATGGGCTGTGATAGTCTCCGGGTACACAGACCGAAGCAGGTGGTTTTCTTAGGGGGACACACCATGAGCCTTTAAATTAGAGGTCACTTTTTGTCCTCTCAATTTCGTGAACAATAGTAATACCGCCAGAAGGCAGTGAGTAGGACTTCTCTGGCAGTAACTGTATACGCGTAGTTATGTGAGAGTATTTCGAGAGGGAGACCGGACTCTCCCCACCCTCGGCCGTACCAGGGCATTTGGGGTTATCAGAATTATGTGATATATTTGTACAATGCATTTCCAACAATGTGATCACATATATCTTTATTTCTGCTTACCTTTTAATTTGTTTAGTTGACTTATTTTTCATATTAAATGTCTTTACAAGTATATGTTCAGTCAGATTGTTCGAAATGTATTACACAAATGTATTACATAATTTGGATAACTTTCATCTTCTCATTGCATTATCGAAATTTATCAAAGGGATTGATGGTTATGTATTTTATTATAATCAGAGAAGGGTTTTTGTGAATATTATAGTAATTTAGTAGTTGAATTCATGAGTAAATTGAATTGGAGAGATCAATATTCACTCTACCCTCGCATTCGTCATCCTGGTGATTCATGCATTAAGAAGACTAATATTCAATCGACCCATGAACTAAACTATTAAATTACTAAGAACACCACAAATCTCCCTCTCTGATTATAATAATCGTATACCCGACAGTGACTATCTCCAAGAGGTATTTCCTGGAGTTCTATTGAGAAGCCATGATATCTTTCTTATCTTTTAAATACAGAGTCTTATTTCGGGATTGGTTTAAATCTGTATCTATTTGAATAACACCATGATAATCTAGCTTCAAATGGCTCATGATCTCAACTATTGAAATTACAACAATCTCCACAAAACCCCTTCTGATACTAATCGACATATGCTCACTAGTGACTGGCTTCAAGAGGTATTTCATGGAGTTCTAGTGAAAAGCAGTGACAAGTGGAGTTCAACCTGATCTGCTGTGAGGCAGTAATTCACTGAAGATAATGATGAACGGTGGCCCAATTTCGTGGATTGGTTGAAGTTAGACAATAACGCCGTTGGATACCTGATCAGTGGTCTAGAGGTTAAGCGCTCGTGTGCGAGACCGATAAGTCCTGGGTTGGAATCTTGCGGGGCAGGATTGTGGAGGAGTTTCATAGTAGGACCATGGTGGTCTAGCTTCAATTGACTCATGAATTCAACTAATAAATTATGTTGACAAATTCCTTCAAACAACCGAACATCAGGATGTAAACGTTGGATATTTCAAAGCTGAAATTACAATTTATATTCCATGGAATTAAATTCAAATGACATAAATAGAATAATTTATTGTTACCATATCCATGTTCATCATATCCAACTTGAACATAGTAATAAAGTTAATCTATGAAAGATAAAAATTAAATGAAATGATATGTCCCTATCATTTACAGTTGGGAGGAAAAACCCGACTCACACGTCCTCGTCGTGCCTCATAACTAATGGGACTCAGTCCCATGAACTAACATGAGCGGTAACCCAGATGGTAGAGATTGGACTAACCACCCACTTGACTGATACCCACAAAGAATCACAGGACAATTACTCCAGGATCGAAAAACGACAAAAAGTTCACAAAAATGGTGCATGCAATGTACGGGGTTACTCCCTACGGGGCAAACTCCAATCGATTGCAAAAACAGCTATTCTAGCCCCAGTAGTTGTGTCGTGCTTCAATGTGGCCTATTTATCTTCAAAAGGGCCTACTAGGCTTTACCAACTTGTTTGGCTAGAAGGGGGTAGCATCATTTAAAGTTAGATTAGGTATATATTCTAATTAAACTGAAAATTGCACATCATATATATATTACAACTAACCTTGTGCTGATGAAAGTACACCATCTACAATATAGCACATTTCTTCTGGTTCATTAAAATTATTCAAAGGTGATTGAGACAAGTCTTTTGAACATGTTGACGGTTGAACTGTGGAAATTTCCTGTTTAGGTTTATTATTATTTGTGTGTAAATAAGAATCCGTTTCTATAGTATCCAATGCAGATGTAGCTTGTAATGAAGATAAATCATGTTGATTATCCTCTAAAGGTGACTGTAATTCGTCGTCATTATTATTATTATTTTCATCTAATTCGTTCACAAGTCTACAGTTACTATGCACTGAAGAATTCGCCAAAGTTTCCTTGAATTCAAATTACAGAGTTGTATATATAAAAATTAGTTTGGTTCATTTGTAGAACTATACAGCTACATATTTAAATAGCCAAGTGATTAATTAAAGCAAATGTCCAAAATAACGACAAATATAAGCTCATAATGATTAAACATCTTTAAATTAACGAAATCTTTTAAAGCCAATCAACTGAATAGTAATTTTATGAATGCTATTATCATCAGTCAGTCAGTCACCAACAACATAGAACTTCGTAGGTACGTACATCAGTTCGAGTTGCCATACAACATTGGCACACAGATACCATTCTCGATTGAAATGCCATAGTGGTAGAGGTAGTAAGAGTATAAGCAGTAATCGGAAAGATTAGGGTTTGAAGATGTGATTCAAGGAGTATAATTCAGTGAAATAAATTTGGAAAGAGAAAAAGAAAAGGGACATGAAAAATTCAGAAGATTAGAAATTTGGGAGAACAAAAAGAGTGGATGCACCTGTGCCATTGCAAACGATTTTGGACCATGTCATTCAAGGTCTCTAATCATCGGTTGCTATCGTGTCACGGATCCCAATCAGGTAGTCTACGCTTACCAACACGGCTCAGTCCACTTGTCAGTGACTTCATGGATTTGTGCCATGTTTTGGTCTGGTCGCATCTAGCTCTCTTCCAACCTATTCCTACACCATGAAACAACATATGTCAGGGCAGTCGGTGATTGGGAATACGTAACACATGTCGCAGTCATCTAAACTGATGAAGTTTTACTAACTCGTCAATTGATTTGCCATTCTTAATTAGTACCCGTTTCCTAATAACTTCATTAATTACTCGATGGTCCCAGGATATACGAGTAATGTTTCGAAGACACCTATGATCAAACACTAGTAACCTCCGAATATCCTTCACTCTTATCGGTCACCCCATACTGTTATATACCATGTTTGCACAAGTGTGAATAGGTTGATGAGGAAATTCTCGGAATTCCACTAAGAAACCTAAACTAGTAGAGTTAATCCATATCAGATAGAGACATATATCTACCTCTGACAATGAAAGATAATTGCACAATTTCATGAATCGGTTAAAAATTCAACAGTAATATCACTGAACCTCTACTCAATGATTTAAAAGTTAAGCATTCACATACATAACCCAAAGTCCTGGGTTCGAATCCCATGTATGGAAAATAGGAAACTTACAATCAATATATTTTAATTAAAAATATAATCAATAAATTATGGTAAAAAAATTGAACTCCAAACATTACCTGCTCATTATGATCATGCTTTATATCACTATTATTATTATTATTATTCATTATATCATTGGTAATCAATTGATTATTGATATTGATTGATTTCAATGTTTTGATTGATTGATTATATGATTTAGAGAATTCATTGATAAACCAATCATTATTCATCGATATCATTGTATTTGATCCATTTCTATTCTGATCTATATTATGTAATAGATTATTATTATTATTATTATTATTATTATTATTATTATTATTATTATTATTATTGAAATACTTTCCAGTTCTTGTTTTAATCATATCAATATGATGATGTAATTCAATGACTGATTGACTTTTATTAAAATTGAATTTTTCTATATTCTCATTATCATTTTCATCATTTAAACTAAATTCACTACTATTTGTATTTATATTCGATTTGATATGATCTTGATCAAATAAATCAATATTGAAATCATTTAATGATGATTGATAATGATCAATAAAATGATTAATTTGATTCGTTGAATTATTTAATGATAAATTATGTATTTCATCTTCAGGATCTGGACTAGATATAAATGAACCATGATTGATTGTCATTGAAGAGAATTCATCTGAAATGAAATAGACAATGATTATTTCACTCTTTTGCTCTCTTTCTCTTTCTCAAACTAACAATTAATTTCAATAGTTGAAATCATGATTCAATTGAAGCTAGACTGGGATATGTGTTAAGTATGCCCAACCACTAGTTTCTTAGTCTGAAACACTAAAGTTTATTGTTCTAACTATGTATTGACAATGTTTGTTTTGAGTTCGGATTTGTTAATTGGATTAGGAGAAGTCAAAGAGATAATGTATCTGGGTCATTGTGACTGATTCTGAGCCATTGACGCAACAACTCGACCCAAACTAGGTACTCTACACCTTGTTTACTTGTCTTTCAGTGCAGTTGTCAATAACCTCATACATTAATATGTCCTCATGATTTGGAAGTCTCTAACCTTCTCCAATGTATCACTACACTTTTCAGGTAGTTGGTGGTCGGGTATATGTTATGTATGTTCCAAGCATCTTACTTGATAAATTATTACTACCTAATCAGTCAATTCACAAACTTTATCTAGTGCTTTATGCCGAAACTTAGCATTGTTCGCTCATCGATTACAATATACATGAGCAATGCTTGAAATACGAATATCCTTTATTCCTAATAGCCATAATTCAATATCTGGAAAGTAGAATAAAGAATACTGGTATTAAAATACATGATAGCTACTCAATAAAATAGGTTTTATATCCAATAAAACAACACTTATGTCCAACATTATCACGATGAACATCATGATAAGGTATTATAAACAATTTAAGAATATCCATTAGAAGGTCAATTAGTCTCCAGTGAATTAAGACTGTACTCACCATATGGTATAGGAGTAGGTTGGAAGAAAGCTAGGGGCGGCCAGACTAAAACATGACACAAATCCATGAAGTACACTGACAAGTGGACTGAGTCATGTTGGTAGGTGTAGATTACCTGGTTGGGATCCGCGAGACGATAAAAACCGATGGTTAGAGACCTTGAATGATACATTACTCAAAATCGTTTGCAGTGACACACGTGCATCCACTCTTTGTGTTCTCCCAAATTCTAATCTTCTGAATTTTTCATGTCCCTTTTCTTTTTCTTTTTCCAAATTTATTTCACTGGATTATACTCCTTGAATAACATCTTCAAACCCTAATCTTTCCGATTGCTGTTTATACTCTTACTACCTCTACCACTATGGCATTTCAATCGAGAATTGTATCTGTGTGGTAATGTGGTATGGCAACTCGAACTGATATACGTACGAAGTTCTGTGTTGTTACTGACTGACTGAGACCACCATAGAAAACTTGGAAGTATTGGACGGCTTTTTCGTTCTAGTATGGGACTCCTCAATTGATTAAGTAAAAAGATTGGCTTAGTAGACAGTTCTCTTCTTTCGATGAGTTCATTCACAAAACTATACAATCGCAAATATGTATACATTTATTGTTTCAGGATAACAATCAGTCAGTCAATCAGTCAGTCAGTCAGTCAGCTACAACATCGGACCAGACAAATATGTGCATCAGTTCAAGTTGCCCTACCTTATTAGAACAAAAAGATTAACACAGGATTCATAGAAGTAATTAATTCAGTGATGATGGTGGTGGTGGTGATAATAATAGTGGTAATAAAATCCTGTTAAACATGATAACAATGAAGTAGAATAAACAACTGACAGGTTCCATATAACACGAAACACGAGTCCTGGATTCCACTGCTAGTCACTATCTATCTATGCTTAAAAAGCATTAAAATGTTATGTTTTTAACTAGGGAAACTAATAATAATTTATTAGTTGAATTCATGAGTCAATTGAAGCTAGATCACCATAGAAAACAGGAAAGCACTGAACGGTCATTTCTTCCTATTGTGGAACACTTCAGCAGTGCGCATCCACGATCCCGCCTCGCGAAATTCGAACCCAAGACCTTTAAAAATACTTTTATTATTTAGAAGTTGAATATTAACCATGAAGATAGATAAGGAAATTATAATTGGGAAATGAAAGCTTAACATGATACAATAAAATGCTGAATTTGGTATGAAATGTAATCAGGAGGATTATAGAAACAGAAGCAAACTAGTTGAGGGCAAAAGGTCTGACTTTGGCAGTCTATTCCAGTTACAATTTCCCATCTATCTGCATGATAAAGTATATATTTACGACCGTAAAGTGTTGAGAATGAATTCACTGAAAACAGAACTTTTCGTTGAACCAATCTTTCTTATTATATTGTCTTAATGGGTATATTCCATTTAGTTAAAAATACAAACAATTTACTTTCCAAGAAATCCACAAGTATAACATTGACAATCAATGACATATTATTCCTTATACATATCATTTCATTCGATTACTTAAGTTCCAATATTCATAGAAGAATATATGGGATTATTTATCAAAGGATGACTATAAAGATCACCATTTCAATCTTTGGTACTATATTTACATGAAGAATAAACATTTCAGTATAGTAAGTGTTAAGTCGGCTTTCCGAGAATTGCAACGGAGCCTCCAGAGGCCCTAAAGGAGCCGAAGAGTCCTAGCCAATCAGAGCATGATGGGACTTTCTAGAACATCAATGTGGCGTGCTACTATTGGTCAGTGGCATAATATGCCTTTTAGCGGATTGGCCAAAATATGATGCTGATTTATCAAATGTTAACATCTATAAATACCCGTGTTTTTCTGTACAAAAATGAACCTTTGGAGTAAAGCGTTTTCGCTTATTTTGCACCTTTTTCTCTCGAGTTCAGGTCGCTACGTAGTTCTAGCCTGCGAGTTACCAGAATAGCTTAGGAACCAAATAAAGCGTTCAAATTAACAAGACTTATCAGTAAGTTAATAAATAACTTCTTATTTGATCAAACGTGTCCTATTTGTATTGTAATAAACGAGAACACAAATGGAGACAATCGAATGTACTGGACCACAAAATTACAGCCCATCTTAGTAAGATCTAAAAACCATACAGTAAATACTTAACTTGCAAAATGTCAGTCAGTCGTCTTAGACTTCAGTGTTCCTGTATTACCATGCCAATCACTTTTTGTTCCCGTTCTTTCCTTCTAGATCTTCTTGATCTTCTGCTGCCAGACATTCTATTCCTAACTAGTGTTATATACTAAATATGTCGATATAATTAGCGCACATCACAGTATTATTCAAATTCATTGAAACAATTGAGTAGGAAATGGATTCAAATAATTCAACTGAGGTATGATAGATTGTTGAATTGTATCCTTGCGGCGCTAAAAGCCAATAATTTGTCGTGATTAATTATTAATTCCATCTCCAGATAAACAACAATAATTACTTTGAAAATATTTTCTGATATGCTTTTCATCTAAATATGACATTTCATCCACAGTCTCCGACCACTGGTTACGATAGTTACATGGACCCCAACCAAGTAGTCTGCATCTACCAACATGGCTAAGACTAGAATTTAGTGACTTTACAGACTGATGCCACGTTTTGGTTTGGCCGCTTCTAACTTTCTTCCAACCACATCCAACGCTAATCAGCATTGTGCATCGTGGTAATCGGTGTTCATGCATACGTAAAACGTGGCTCAACCATCTTAGTCGATGAAGATTTACAACCTCATCGACTGACTGACCATCATTCCCTAATACCCTGTGCCTAACTTACCCGATGATCCCAACAAATGTGAGCAATATTTCCAAAATATCTCTGATCAAATATTCTCAACTCACGAGTATCTTCTACTTTTAATGACCACGTTTCTCAGGCGTAAAGTGGAACAGAATGAACTACTGTGCAGTATGTTAACAATAAACAAACTAACTTAACTAGACTATGTAACATGAGTTCCACATTTGAAAATGATGAATAAAGTCGTATGAAATTGTATCAATTAAAAACTTACTAAACCCTTTTATCTTTGATGATTCATTCCAATTTCTGTTAGAATTATTTCTTGTATTGAAGTTATATTTTCTACGAACCGCATAACCATATCCAGAAGATGGAGAAATATGTGGGCTAGAAGAAGGCCATGTCATTGTCATATTGACATCATAGTTCCCATAATCAACATAATTAACAGGATGACAAGATAGACTAGAGTGTGAAATAATTCTTGGAACACCTAAATGATTCGAAGCTATATCTCCAGCATAATCCCATTTTAAAACATCATGGTTATCGGAAATTACATCTAATTGAGCGTAATTATCTCCTTGTTGATTTCTGTCAAAAGATCCCACAGTTTGACTAGAAGAAATAATTTTCTATAGTGTAGAAAATATGTTCAAGATTAGAATATATAATGGCGATGCTGAAACAGCACAAAGTCTATTCCAAAGGTATAAAAGATATAAGACACTAGAGTAACTATTAGCATCTTGTCATTTTATGCGAAACATCGAATCATTTTTCTCATACTTATTAACTACTTATAAATAAAATAGTAGTAATAGTAGTAAAAAGACATCTAATGGAAATTTCGATAATTAGAATAAACTGTGTCTGAAATTCTTCATACTCATAAATTATCACAAACAATAAAACCAAAAATATGACGAATTTGTGACTACTTCATCTGTTTCTTGTTATGATTACATGTTAAATTGTAGATCCGACCGTTGTTGCTACCATGACGTGGTGGTCGGGCTTGCCTATCATGATGAACCAATCGAGCTATAATGGCTGGAACAATCGTTCCTCAAGGTTCTACCATGCCACATTGGTCGATTCAACAGCGGTAAGAACAAAAGCAACAAACCCAAAGTGCGAACGCGAAGTCGTACTGCTGACTGTACAGAGGTGTGACAGCAGTAAAGTGTTTCCTCCAGACAACCAGCATGACAGCCGTGCTGCCTTCTCACAAGGAGGGATGGGGATAGAAAAGGTCGGCCCCAAAGATCCACACCTCACATTATCCCACGGATATCCGTCTCCAGCGATAAGGTCTCAACAAGTACGGACCCAACACGAAAATGACTCGCAAAAAGGTCGTGTGTGACCGACCTCAAGCAGTTGTCCCTTGGGCACTGCGGTCACACTTTCAGGTCACTAAGACCACCTCTAATCCAATTTTGTTTTAAGGTGTCTCCAGAAGAACCCTTCCACGGTGTGAGCAACCGATAAGTGATAACCGCTCTCATACCTCTAACAGCACTCAGGACCACTGTATTCATAAACTGTAGACTATAGATACGCTCCATACAGAGGTTAGATATCAACAATTATGACTGTGTTTGGTTTGGTTTAAAATCGAAAAAGTCATTATTACCCAACAGTAGTTTCAACTGCAACTAAAACACAAATTAGATAATAAGTGAATTTAGTCTTATTAAAAAAAGCCTGTGCTTTAACCTAGTATTATGTTCTGCAATCCTATGAAACCACTATTGCTCTCCTTAAAGTTGATCAGTAAACTTTGCAGAGGAAGAAAAACAAGATTATGTAGGCAACTTTATCCTCAAAATCCAAATAGTAACGTTTACCGCTCATGGATAGTCATGTGGGTAGTGACTTTGGCTAGACTAATAATTCATCGGATCTAAAATCCCACTCATTTATTGTATATCACTTAACATGCTCGTTTTCTTCAACATACTACACCACGACAATTTCCTCCTCTATCACTGATTGCTTACCCCAGTTACGTTTTGTCCACCAAATGGTACCTGTTACTGTAATTTGAAATCTCATGCGATTCGTTTGAAAAATGAGAATGGTTTGGTATGTAAAACTCACATTTCTTCACCATTTTCCAACTCTAAATTAACATTTTCTTTAACAAGGATCCCTTACGTTAGGTTTACTTCATTATTATCGCAGTCAAATGCATTATAGAATCTTTTGGTTATCTATCTTTCTTATATGGTTTTTATTATTTTAAGGACATCGTAGTTATTCTCCTACGCGGTGATTGTTTACCAGTTCAATGTCTCTTGAAGGTCGAAGAAAACTGGTTGTTACCTGGCTTTTTATGCTTGATTAACTGAACCCGATGAAAATAGAAAGCTATTGGGGTTTATTGAAAATGGCAGTCAGTGCTATCAGTGTTGCTTTGTTGGTTTCATTAATAAGACTAACAATTCGAACTTAACTGGATGTGTATATATATGACTCACAGGAATAACATAGTCAAAATATCTTTCATGGTTGTAAACAACTTACTTCCATTAATGGATATGGTGATGCTTTTTTTGAAATGAATACCATTGGAGTGTGGCATTTTGATTGATTTAACATTAAAATTTCATTATTCATATCCTCTAAAAAGTCGATAGAGGATTTCGCGTTTCTTACACTGCTATTTACTGCTGGCATATATTGAGAGGTTGTTGGGGTTGTTAAATCGAATAATTTATTAGGAACCAGTGACAAAAATGAAGTCTGTAAATAAAAAAAGACTGCCGGTTTTAATCAGCACAACAAACCTGAATAAATGAAAATCCTGATACATAGTTCTGTCATAGCACTCTCGTAAACTATTCGGGTAAATGAACACATTAAAATCCACAACTGGTCTCATTTATTTGATTATGTCAAGCTTATTTTACACCATAGTAATACACATGGGTTTTCTTCTGTGAATATAAATAAATGTATGAAATCACTAATTCCAATAGGAGAATTATTATAGGCACCTATTGAGAATATTAGTCTATACACCAAGGTCCTCAAATACAACACGGAGAACAGCAATCCATTCACTCTCGATGGCGAAATCCTGGAAGATGTAGAATCCTTCACATACCTAGGAAGCATCATCGATGAACAAAGAGGTTCAGATGCAGACGTAAAGGCAAGGATTGGCAAAGCAAGGGTCGCATTCCTACAGTTGAAGAACATATGGAACTCAAAACAACTTTCAACCAATATCAAAGTGAGAATCTTCAATACGAACGTCAAGGCAGTTCTACTGTATGGAGCTGAAACTTGGAGAACTACAACAACCATCATCAAGAAGGTTCAAGTATTTAAAAATGATTGTCTACGTCAGAAACTCAACATACATTCGCCGGATACTATCAGCAACAGCCTTTCATGGGAGAGAACAAACCAGTTTCCAGCTGAAGAAGGAATTAGGAAAAGACGATGGAAATGGATAGGACATACATTACGCAAATCATCAAACTGCATCACGAGGCAAGCCCTAACTTGGAATCGTGAAGGGAAGCAGAAAAAAGGAAAGCCGAAGAACACGTTACGTCGGAAAATAGAAGCAGATATGAAAAGGATAAATAACAACTAGAAGGAGCTGGAAAGGATTGCCCAGTACAGGGTTGGATGGAGAATGCTGGTAAGCGGCCTATGCTCGTTCACCGGGAGTAACAGGCGTAAGTAAATAAGTACACCTAAAAGTGGACAACATAAATGTTGATGTGATTCGAATGTGATTTCTGTGTACAAAAGAGCCACATTCAATGACTTATTCTACCATAGCCTTGGCAAATTGTAAATGCGAATTACTGTCTTAAAATTCACCTTCTTTTTTGTAAAGCAAACAACTGCTTCTTTCACTCCCATTAACTATCAAGTGCTACTAACTCTGAACTCCGCCTGGAGCCCTTCTGGGGTTACTACCGGTCCCATTGCCCGGATAAAGAAGGAGGAATGGGCTTGGGGTTAGCGACCTCATCATTTAGAAAAGTAATTCGCCAAAAGAATGCTAATCAGAAAAAAAATCCAAAGCTACTAACTCCTCGGCATATTACGTATCACTTGTTCGATACCTGAAATCTTTGATAATTTTTAATTACTTTGGTAAACGATGCAATACCTCTCCATATTCGTAGACTTCCATATTCCAAACTTGAGAAAACCTGACTATCAATGATAATTTCGTTCAGTAATTTTATTTTATTTTATCTAAACACATAAGCATTGATACAAGGAGGCACCAAATAGATATGCATCACATAAATCATTCGATTTAGGTGAGGGCTGAGATATTGCCCGGGTTACTAAATCAAAGCGAGTGGTTTTCTTAGAGAGCCACATTCAGAACCTTTGACCTAAAGGTCTGATCCACGAGGCAGTGGAGCAACGTTAGGAGATGCAGTCTCATGGTAGCCGGTGACCAGTGATTGGTTCATACTCCGCTTGTTCCTTTGGGATACTGGAACACATGTACACCATTGGTTTGGAATGAGGGTTTTCCAACTCCCTCAGGTGGACCCTCCGTGTAAACTTATCCGGCTAAAGCACCGGACACTCGCTTTTCATCCTCTTAACTTTGCGAACAACAGTAATGTCACAAGAACGTATTGAGTAGAACTTCCCTGCCAGTGGTTGTATGCACGTGGCCATGTGAGAGCATTTGGAGAGGGATAGTTGACTCTCCCCACCCTCGGCCGTTTCAGGGCATTGGATGGCCCGTTCAACAATTTTCCTCTATTTTATAGTGGACAACTGCAAGCAAAACTAACTATGAGTACTATTGCACAGCCCAAAAAATGATGTCATCAAAAAGAAATTCTTTCGTTGAATTATTTTCATTCATTTATTTATGACATAATGAGTTAACTTCGTAATAATAAAAATCATATCTTTGTGGCAGATGGGAACATTTATCAGCTGAAATGGTCGTCGGATATACAAAAATCCGGTAAAATTGATATAACAGATTGTTTAAAATATTTTTTTCATTCTCAAGTAGACTGTAATAATACATTAATAAGATAATGAGATTAGTTGCGTTATATAAGATTCAGGATTCCCGACTCAGAATAGAGAACCAGAGTATAGACTAGATAGTACTTTACTCAACACAATTACAAGCAGTTACTCACAGCGAGTCCAGAGTAGAGATCAATAAGAGGAAAAGGAATCACACATATTTAGTGGTCAGTGGGCTACTTGCCTGTTTGTCCACTCACAGTGACTAATCTTATTGTACTTTCACTATCACATATCAAGATTAATCTGTTATTAAATTATGTAAAGTCATAAAATAGCAGAATACACCCATTAACCAAACAATAGAGTTCTGTGCTTAGTTGGAATGAGACTGGATTGGTGCTCTATTATTTGGACGCTTAAACTCTGACCATTAAATCACAATTTTATGCTGATATTCCTTTGTTGAAGTCTAAAGAATCAACCATCGGCAAACATATAATACATGTGAATCAAACTATTGTATGATGAATAGTTACCAATAGAACACATTCACACCCCTGAAAAATGTAGAGGAACGTTATTTTCCCATAACAATTAGTAGGAATTGTAAGTAAATAATCATAATTGAACTAATGCTAAGGTTAAAGTCAACCTCTAAAACCTAATAAAGATAGTCATACTGGATCGAATGACAGAGTCTACAAATTTCTAGAGTTCTTTCTAAAATTAGCAAAGCAATCAAGCAAATACTACAATGGAAATTAACTTCCAATGTTCAGCGCTTAATTAAAGTTTTAAGGGCTATGGTTCAGCTCATAATGTACTCATCAAACTATTGCTAAGTCAGGCTATGAAGAAGCTGTATTTACTGAATCATAGCGACTACAGCTTATTTCCACTAATCTATGTTCAAAACAACCAAAACAGCGTACATATAAATGATGACCTTTGGTTAGGGTTATAACTGAAACCTCATGTTTTCTCTCAGTGTCTCTGTTTCACTTATCCCATGATCATGATACGCCGTGAAACTCAAAAAGGTGTGTATGGTCTATTCGTATCATATTTATCTCCGATTTGGTGACGAGATTTTGTATTCATCAGAAAATCTAGAAAGAAGTTTGAACTCTTGGTAAGTAAAATCGACTATGGAGGACAGACAGAAACATGCATTGATCTCAGCTGGTATACTGTACAACAGATAAGTAATAATATAAATTTGATTGTCACCAATAAAAAACTGATACCAAAACGTACGTAGATATCGTAACTTATGTAGGAGGTTATGAGTGACTGGATTGGACTATTTTCGTCCAAATCAAAATTATAATCTTAAAAGCAATCACGATAATAACTAAGGCACTCTTAATAACAATAAAATATATACTACTATAGGAAAATTACAATATTAATGACTAAAATACCTCTGATTCACTTGTCAAATTTAGTTGATTTGGGCTAATTTCTGGATTGTTTGGCATGGTAAATCCTTCCGGTGTTTCACGTCTGTTGTGTGAAATTTGTGGAGTGTCCTGTTTAGAATCAGTTACCGCAGATGTTGGGTCACTGATTAGAGAACTTGTCATCGGTGTCGAATCAGGTCGAGTAGACAACGGTAAATACAAACTATAGTTTTGACGTACAGTTGGCAGTGGCAAAGACGTATTATGTTGAAAGTCTTCAACTAATTTGCATTCCATCTACTTTAAAACAAATAAAGTATGTATGTCACTATTATGCACATATTAAAGTTATTCAACAATGAAATTATGCTAAACTAGATAAATGCCTGACAACATCTTTAGAACTTGGGTAATTCAATTTCTAGTGATGCAAACTCTGCCGTTCCGATAACTTTCTAAATCACTCATACTTCAGAGGAATTAAAGCTTTGACGGAATACTTTGTCAATAAAATTATGCAATCAAGCTTAATCAGGTGTACAAAAGTATTAAATGTAAATGCTTACATCATTATAAATGTTTTGATAATGATTAATTTCCTCGAACTTCGCCTGACCGTTGTTGCTACCATGACGTGGTGGTCGGGCTTGCCTATCATGATGAACCAATCGAGCTATAATGGCTGGAACAATCGTTCCTCAAGGTTCTACCATGCCACATTGGTCGATTCAACAGCGGTAAGAACAAAAGCAACAAACCCAAAGTGCGAACGCGAAGTCGTACTGCTGACTGTACAGAGGTGTGACAGCAGTAAAGTGTTTCCTCCAGACAACCAGCATGACAGCCGTGCTGCCTTCTCACAAGGAGGGATGGGGATAGAAAAGGTCGGCCCCAAAGATCCACACCTCACATTATCCCACGGATATCCGTCTCCAGCGATAAGGTCTCAACAAGTACGGACCCAACACGAAAATGACTCGCAAAAAGGTCGTGTGTGACCGACCTCAAGCAGTTGTCCCTTGGGCACTGCGGTCACACTTTCAGGTCACTAAGACCACCTCTAATCCAATTTTGTTTTAAGGTGTCTCCAGAAGAACCCTTCCACGGTGTGAGCAACCGGTAAGTGATAACCGCTCTCATACCTCTAACAGCACTCAAAACCACTGTATTCATAATCGACCTCCCTCGAACATCGATTTTAGTTTATGTGTTCATCGTTTTCACCAAAACATTAAAGATTTGAAAATTCGTTGATTGAGAACAAGTTATATGATTAGTTTTCCTTTGACTTAAAATAATTGTGATAACTTCAGGCATTTGAACTCGGTCGAGAGTAATATTACACAGGATTCATTTTCTTTTCATTTCATTGCCTAAATCTCTTTTGACAACACTTTTTGATCAAATGTTACTATTTAAACAACTACATGACGTGAAATTAACTGGTTTTATTGAACCCATAACGATGACGCAAACTTACTAACTTCCGATTAAGGCAATCTAATCTTTAAACTTTTTTCGAATTCATCATGAACATTGAACTGAGCAGCCACATCAACCTAACTAGACGCCACAAATGGCCTAAAGCGTAACTAAATATCAGAAAGCGAGCATTTCAATTTGCAAAACTTTATTACGAGAATATTAAGTAGTGGGCAGAAATGATATTACAAAACGAGCGATGTTGCGAAAAGCAGGGACATATACATTTATTTGAGTCCTTTTCAACCCTCTAGACGACCTATTTTCCGATTGTGCTCATATTGCAGTACATTTTCTTATCTATATTTTTGAGTAACTACCTAAACATGCTAAACAGAAGATGTACTTACATGCCTTTGTAACAAGCCCACAAGCCATCGCGAGTCACGATACTTTAAAGCTAGCGAAGAATTATACCACTGGGTGGTGTATTTTTCAAAATAACATGCCTTTGAAAAGCGAGATATTATATTGTGATTAGTGGGCTATTTGCACTATTCAATGAAAAAAAACCATCGACTCTAAACTGGTAGTAAACCTTTGAAATTGAGGAATAAGAGCGTTTAATTAATATGACCAAACAAGGTTCTGAAACTGCTATCACTGTAAATAAGTTTCGAGAACTAGTTCATGTATGAAAAATATAGGCATATAGAGACATACGACCCCAAAGCAATTCAAGTCTGGAACTGAAATTTAAAATTTCCATATTGGTTGGAGTTATGTATATATTGGTTTTGACAGTCTGATTTTTTTAAGCATTATTCGTATGGAGCTCACAACACCAAGTAGCGTCTTTGATTAAAAACACATGTATTACTCGAGCTCCCAATTTTGGGGAAAATTTGACACATTTTGTGGAAGCCGCCATAGTAAATTTTGGGGAAATGGCACAAAAACACCAAAATTCCCCTTCAACCTTGGTCAATGTCATTTGACTTTGGGGACTTCCCCAAACATTAGTTAATGTCGTTTGATTTCGGGAGTTTACCCAAAATACCTCAAAATTTCCCCAAAGTTCCCAAAAATTGGAAGCTCGGGTAGCTATCCCTACTCACATTCCCATGCAAGTTTTCATGAAACTGACATTTAAATTTTGAAGAAAGATTTTTATTTAAAAATAGTCGTTTATAAAATAAATCTGTCGATATAGTCGTCTCTCATGAGTTTTATCTACAGATAAAACTATAGAGTTATGGTGGACCATAATTGTCTACCCTCACTGAGCAATGCTAAAATGTTATACTTTTTACCTAACTCCTTGCTTAAACAGCCAAAAGTTATCTGTACTTAAAAGCATAATAATCATGAGACCTTGATTTATATGTCGCCGAACCAGTTTCTTTAATCTCAAAATCAGCAGTAAAGATTACTGTGTTACATTATCGAAAAATTTTTTGAAAGTACCAACAATAAAATCAGATCATTTACTCTACAAGGCTTGTTCCCAGAACCAAGTTGATATGACGCTAAACACAAATAAGTGTACGACAAACTTACTAATGTACTGATACGAACAAACAAAACCTTCATTCAGTTTCAGTTTTAAAAATAAATGAGGAAAGGTCTTCCTGTGTTAGTTTTTGTACTACTAATCTCTTAGTTTACAGCTATATTGTGCTTCCATTCTTATTCTTACACTTTGATTGTGACTTCGCGCGAATTCGGTTACGTTCTGTAACCAAGCTTGTATCCTGACACGATCTCGGTATCCTTTCGATACCACGAGATCGCCAGCGAATATAGCTCGACTTGGTCCATTAACCGCCTTCTGATATTTGGCTTCTCGGGGATTTTATGGATTTATTTGGTTACGTTCAACCTTCGTCTTCTGATTTATTTGGCACGCGATCCTTTGTAGCGGTGTTCATAGGTAATCTCGACTCGACACCACGCTACAGTCTGTTGGGTTGCGTGGATATTAAGTGTTCGCACATTTAATTGGTCTTTTGCGACATCAAAGCCACAAATCAGTGCGAAGAATATTAATTTAGCTCTCTCTGTCCTGTAGTTTATTAGTTGGATTGATTGTTGCTTCCTAACTTCGGATTAAGGTTTTTATGGTAAGGACGAAAGGCCTATTCCTTTTCTAGTGTGCTTCTATAAGTATCCAGTCTTCTCTTGAATGAGTCAATTGAAGATGTGGACATCAATGCTTCGGGTAACAGGTTACAAGGATCGATTAATGTGTGTGAAAACCTGTATGCTCACTGGGCAGTAACTATTGAGACTAAGGTATTGGCCCGTCGACGTTGGTTTTCGAAAGATGGATCGTCTGCTTGAACCATCTTCTCGTCTACTTGTTAGCATATCTAAGAAGAGAAGCCGGTCATTCTTCTCCTCTTCACATCAAAGGCTGATGTGATTTCGCAGAGTAATAAGTCTACTCAATAAACAATTCATTTCGTCCTTTCTTTCACAGATAACTATGCTGTCATCTTCATATCTCTTATAAACAGACATGTTTACGACTAGGTCTTCAGCTAGATTTGCAACATGTGTTATGAACACGTCTGCTATTAATGGTCTAATGGACCAACCATAGCAACCAGTCGATCTGGCAAAACTATTCACCTTCAAATATGAACTGGACGTTGTCAGTACATAATAGTGCTAAATCTTTAAGAATTTTTAAAGGAACAGGTAATTTTTCAAGGCTGTTCAAAGAAGTGTGGTCACATAATATATCAATAGTCGTTTTCAGAGGTATATTTGTGAACAGGGAATTCACGTCAAATGAACACATTGTCTTTCTCTTGATACTAATATCACATAAATGATCGACCAAGTCAAAAGAATCGTTCACAGAATACTTATATAAACGTGTTCCAACAGGATCCAGTAATTTAGCTCGGTTATGTGTAGGTGATCGACGCACTGATAAAATTGGGCGTAAACAAATGTTTGGTTTGTGCATTTTACGTAATCCATGTAAATGACCATACTCAGAACCAATAGGTTCCAGGAAATTAAATTCCTCCCTACCAATAATATTCATGTGCAGCTGCTTCACTATGTTTGGATTTATTCTTCCCTCTACTTTGCTAATACCTGCAAGTTCACCATCAGGCATAAATTTACTTTCATCACTGAGAATCGATAATTTCTTACCTTTACATTCACATTTGTTCTTGACAACCACGCCGGATCTTTTATCAGGCTTTAACAAGACAATATCAGGGTTCGTTCGTACTTATTTTAGTGACTTAAAATACTGAATAGTTAATATGCTTCTCTGCTTTGGTCCACGATTAAGCAATTGGTGGGCTATATCTAACAGTTTACATTGGTCTCAGCTTTGATTATTTAAAGACGTAGGGGTTAGCGTACTCAGTTGATCCAGTATCCGACACTGGATGTCAATTAGTCAAGTAAGAACAGGTGAAATCCCACATCCACATAAAAACTAATTCATGCCCCCTGCTAAACCAACAAATTCGAACGTGACACGGATAAATATTCATCAAACTTTAGTTATTTCTACTGGAATTCAATAAGTATTTCGCTTTCATTCACTTTCATTACTAACATGATTGTCTGTGGATTCGAAACGGTCTAACGAATTACCAACAATCTCAAATAGCCTAGAACTTCCACAACACCCAATCAAGAAGTACAATTCTAATTAGTCACAACAAAACTGTATTGGATAATTATGACAGATTAAAAGACAACACAAAACATTTAACTGTACAGTATTTATATTGTTCCATTGCAACAACTGACACAGACTGTTTATCTGTCCACGTGTCTATAATGTGCTCTTAGTCCATTGTAATTGTCAGATCCTCTCAATTGTTCAAAATTCTCATTCTCGCTTTCTCCTCTTATCTGAAATCAGCATTTATCTACAGAGTCATCATTATTCAGGGAATCATTGGTGTCCAAATTGCGACTACCTGTCTCAAGTTCACAATTATCCACACCACAAAATTTAGTTAAACACAAAACAGAACTAAAATTAAAATCACTTACTTCATTAGCTTCCACTCGTTACACGTGTCCGCTATCAACTAAATGAGCAGTTCAATTAACAACCACTATCATCCGACTACACATACTCTGAATTATAATTCCCGTAGATGGTCGATAGCCCTCACTCACTTGTTCAAAATCGCGCGGATAACTGTACTGATAGATGGACTTTCTCACCTCGACAGAAACTACCAAAACAGTGTGGCAGATGCCACTGAGTTGAGAAACACCCCACGAAAATACTCTCACAGAATCGGACACATCCACAGGTGCCTTGGTCAAAGTGACAACAACAACAACAAAAGAAATAACAGTCCACACACGGACCAAAATTAGAAAACATACACGGATATGAAGAAGTCTACCAGGAAAACTGAATCTTCACTGGTAATCATACACCCAGGAATAACACAGGTCATCTGACCTACTATTATTCTTATTACGGACGACTATACTGCATCCTCAAGGTCGAGCGAATTCCCGTCTAGTTGATGTTAAATTTAGTTCTCGTGAAAATGTCAGTCATATTCCGACCAGTCCAAAAGCAGTGCATGAGCAAACCTGGTCATCCTTCTTATCCCAAGATGTTTGTACATTGTCCACTTCTACTCTGGCCACTTGCTTAATGCAAACTTACGTTTTTCATTATTATTCCAGAATGAGATTATGCTCACCAAATCAGTCTTCATGACTATCGTAAATGGCTGACTGACTAACGTTTTCCGTCATTTTACTCCTTACTTTCATCATCGTTCTCATAAATCACATTGATTTCAAACATACATTCTTGATTGATTTACAGCCACGTGACTCGATTGACTTTTTCTATTCAAATTTGAATGGGAATAGTCTAAACGTATATCAAGTCTATATAATATCAGTCTAGAGCGATGATAATCAGTTTGTAAAAACGCATTTGCCGAGCGGTCTGACTGTAAAACGCTCGCAAACAATTATTTATATCGATGAATAACCTGTAGCGTTAAATAAATCCCTAAAATAAATAGCTCTGTAAGTTTTCGACATTGGATGCTGACCATATGTTTTAGTGGACTCATCTAGCTGAAGGCGCTCGGTCAGGCATCTGCATCGGATCACGTGTGGTAACGCCGTGCTCAACATCAACCGCAATCGCTAGCCAGATTAGATCAGAGAATTCCGATATATTGGTCATCGCCAAATATACTCTTACGATCTTCTCGATTCTGTTTTTTGATTTCTCTGGGCGGGAACGAAATATATTAGAAGGTGTTACTGGTAGAAGCGTTGTCAAACACTGAATACCTGTGACATCATCATTGGTGAAACCGACGTGATCTGGTACACCTAATTGCAACTGTGTGTCTGTTCCTTTTTGGGATTTTTATATATCATTGCCTTATTTTTTTATTTTTTTAAACATTGTGATTTTTTTCGTGTTTTTTCCTGGATATATATATATTTTCCCCTCGTTCATTATCGTACTTCATACTTCGTCATGACTGAACAGACACCTAAAGTACTCAAGCTTAAGACTTTGTCCCCGTCTTCGTTTCAACTGATGCCTTTCTGGCCCGACAACATCGAAGCCTGGTTTTGCTACGCAGAACCCGACTTTTCCGAGCACGGCGTGATCGACACACGTGCACAATTCCTCGCAGTAGTCAAGGCACTACCGCGCGAATTCAACAGGTACGTAACACCTAGTATGTTTACTAGTGATGTTTCCGATCCTTACGAAATCTTAAAACGCTCGATTCTTAAACGAGGAGACCTAACCGATCGACAAAGTTTAGATCAACTCTTCAACAATATCGACCTGCAACACGGTTCTGCGACAGACATGTTGCAACGGATGAGAGAGGTTATAGGCCCAAGAACTTTCGACGAAGGCCTCTTCAAACAACTCTTCTTGTCAAAACTTCCCCAACAGGTGCAAGCAGTTCTGGTCTCGTTCCAGAACAACGCCTTAGACGAGCTAGCTGCATCTGCCGACCGCATTTTAGAAATTACGAAATCTACTACCGAGGTATTTTCAGTCAAAGAAAAACCTCAAACGACTCAGAATGATATAAACGACTTATGTCACACACTCACGCGTTATCTTAGTCTTCGTACCGACCGTAAGAGATCGCGCACACCACGTAGAAGCATTTCCCGTAAGCGATCTGTCTCTAGACCACGAGAGACAGATAACCCCGACTGGTGCTGGTATCATAACCAGTATGGAAAGTTTTCCAGAAATTGCAGAAAACCCTGCAATTTTCTTCTAGCGAATTCCAACGACCGACTTCACGAATCGACTCTTAACTTACAGGCGGCAAACGGAAAACCGATCGCTACGTATGGCAAAAGGTACGTTTACCTTAACGTGGGTTTACGCAAACCCATTCACTGGATTTTCGTTGTTGCAGATGTTTCTATGCCAATCATTGGTATGGATCTTCTACAACACCACAATCTGATCATCGACACTCGCAAACGGAGGCTAGTAGACGGTAACACTAATTTGTCCGTTTGCGTAACTTCTTTTACTGGTTGTAGAGTATCCCCAGTCACAGTTAAACATATGATAGACCCACTCTATCAACCACTACTCGATAAGTACCCTGAGATACAACAAACTCAAACGAAACTACCGTGTGTAACCAGCAATGTTACACATCACATCACGACTACAGGACCACCTGTATTTTCTAAAGCACGCCGACTAGCTCCTGAAAAGCTACGGTTAGCGAAAAACGAATTCGATCACATGATGGACTTAGGAATCATACGACCGTCAAGTAGCCCATATGCATCTCCGTTGCACATGGTCCCTAAAAAGGACAGCAACGATTGGCGTCCAACTGGTGACTATCGACGATTGAACGCGAAAACCATTCCCGATCGTTACCCGTTGCCTCACATTCACGATTTGACAGCTACCTTGAAAGGTACAACTGTCTTTTCGAAAATCGACTTGGTTAAAGCGTATAACCAAATCCCTATGGCTACTGACGACATACCGAAAACGGCTATCATAACTCCCTTCGGACTCTATGAATTTTTGCGAATGCCTTTCGGTCTAAGGAATGCTGCTCAAACATTCCAAAGATTCATAGACGACGTTTTTCGAGGTCTCAACTTCGTACACGCGTATGTTGACGACTGTCTAATCGCAAGTCCGGACAGAGAAACACATCTCAAGCATCTGGATCTTGTTTTCGAACGACTTCAAAAACATGGCATAACTGTAAACGTTCAGAAATGCCAATTCGGAACCGACTCGTTAGACTTCCTAGGACACACTATCGATGCTCAAGGCATTCGACCTCTTAGGACCAAAGTGGCGGCCATTCTGGATTACCCAGAACCGACCACCGTCAAGCAATTGCGCACGTTTAACGGCCTGGTAAGTTTCGATAGACGTTTCATACCCAAATGCGCATTACTTATGAAACCTCTGACCGACCAACTTCGTGGAAATGCGAAATCCATTAATTTGGACGACACCGCACGAAAAGCATTCTCCACAGTTAAGGAACTGATTGCTAAAGCAACAATGCTCGCACATCAGGACACCCGAGCACCCATTAGCATCGCAGTAGACGCATCCGACTCAACAATCGGAGGAGTCTTACAACAATGGGTTAACAACGCCTGGCAACCCTTGGCATTTTTCTCTAGAAGGTTGCTAGACACCGAATCGAGGTACAGCACATTCGGTAGGGAACTCCTAGCTATGTATTGTGCTGTACGGCATTTCCAACACTATATCGAAGGCCGTGAATTCACTCTTTTCACGGACCATGAACCGCTCACTTTCTCGTTGAGCTCTCCTTCTGACAAGTACTCTCCCCGTGAGTCTCGACAACTGGACTACATTTCGCAGTTTACTTCAGATATTCAACACGTCTCTGGAGCAAACAATGTAGTTGCAGACGCTTTATCTCGTATAACTTCCTTGAACAGTTTCCAAGGAATCGACCTTCTTAAACTCGCCGAGCTTCAAAAAGAAGACAGTGATCTTCAGCACGAGTTATCGTCCACAACACTTAAACTACGCATCAAACAGATGGGAACAGGTAAGGAAACCTTACTTTGTGACACATCTACAGGTAGGGATCGCCCAATCGTGCCGAAACATTATCGACGCAATGTCTTCAACACATTGCACAAACTTTCTCATCCAGGCGCCCGTGCAACCATCAAGCTTATAGCAGAAAGGTTTTGCTGGCCTGGAATGAATAAAGACGTGAGGGAGTGGGCACGCTCCTGTGTAAGCTGCCAAAAATCTAAGGTTATAAGACACAATAAATGTCCCTTAGGCTCGTTTAAAACTCCCGATGCTCGTTTCGACCATGTTCATTTGGATTTGGTAGGACCTTTACCACATTCAAATGGATACTCTTATCTCTTAACCTGCGTAGACCGTTTCACTCGATGGCCAGAAGCAGTACCTATCAAGGAC